TAATTGATAACAATAAATTATATTACAATAGAATATTATTAATGAACATAAAAATGACAGAATAATCACAAAACAAATTCTATTAACATAGTTGAATAAAATGTAATTTTTACTATAAAAAAGTTAAAAAGTTAAATGGCAAATTACCACATTGTTACCATAAGTTATTTTTCTATGTTATAAAAAAATCATAACAACACATATTAATTAGAATAGAATCATACTGCAAATACCAACAAAAACCACTTAAAAAACAAGTCATGTTAATCATTTCATTTAAAACATAATAATAAAGATTGTCTATCCATATTTACCATCCACACCTTTTCAACCTATCCACAGCAAATTATGCCATAGTATTTTTATGACAAATTATATGTCATTTTATAAATTATTCAATTTCAATATTTTTTTGATAACATATAGTTTATACAATTAATTAAATAAACTAAAGTTAATTAATTAAAAACTTTAGTCTTAAATTTTTTAACAAAATTGTTTTTTTGCGGCAAATTCGTTTAAATGGTAAAAGTAAAAGATGACTTTTACTAAAAATAAAATTTGTTTTTTCTGTTTTAACTTTTAAAAAAATCGGTTTTTTATGAATTCGGTCCAAAAAACCCATTTTTTGTAAACTCTTAGCCAAATTTTATATTAATTACAACAAAAATGTGTAAGATTTTCAAAGCCATCCACACAAAAGTGGTTAATCACGTTAACACTCTTTAGATTAGCATCCTTTTTTTTCTCAGCATCTTACTTTTTCAGTTAACTGTATTAACAATTATTTTTCCGATTTTAAAAAAGAACAAAAAGGCAAAAAACAATATTTGTTAAAATGTGTTATTGAATGTCCCTTGAAAAGTCATTCATAAAATTAAGTGTTAATATAAAAATAGAAAACAATTAACTTTCTTTAGGCTAAAGTTCGTTTGCTGGGCGAAGGTTTGATGGTTCAATTGTATACTTCTACTGGGTATTTTTTATATATATTAATTATCACCAAATAAATCTTTTATTGTGATGAATACTGATTATTACACAAAGCAATTTTATTTGTTACAAAAAAATGAATTATAAGATAGTCAATAATTAAATAAACAAAAGTTTTAAAATCAGATTAACAATTAATAACCTGTGTTTTTATTTTTGCAATTATATTCTCCTGTTAATTAAATAACTTTTACCTCTTTTACTTTTAAAATTATTTTAAAGATACCGAATTGGTAATTGTTTAAAAATAGGGTATATATAAAGTTATAACAAAAACAGTTTTTGCTATAAATAACCAAATTAATACGAAGGAAGATGCATTGTTTCTTTTTTGGTTTTGTGTTTGTTTAAGTAGTTTTCTTTGTGTTTAATAAAATAAGACTTAATTTGAAAAAGCTTATTAAAATAATAAGCCAGTTTTAAAGTAGTTGTCTCGATTTTTAAGAAAGAAAATGAAACACATGTCCAGATGGTTCTGGTAATATACACCAATTTACTATTGGGAAACTAAATTATTAATATCAAGTTATTAAATAATTTCCATTTATTACCACAATAAAAACGGTTTAACATAAACAAAGTATTTAAATTCTATTCTCAAACATTTCATTTTTTATAAATAGAAAGAACCACCCAATTTTTATTAAATAAAAAGGTTTTCTGAAGAAACAAATAACAATAATGTTTTTCATTGCTTTACTATCACTGGCTTTTTCAGAGTCAATTCCAGTATCTATTGATGGTTCAAAATTTGCAGACATACGTTGTGAGAATACCGTTCGACCAATTTCTCCTTCTGAGAGAATAGAATATTCAGAGTGTACCGATTTTATAAAGGAAATTGATCAATCTATTATTTATCATTCATTGTTATGCAATGGGTTAAACAAAATTATCAGTGAAATTGATCTTGAAAAGTACAACAACACATGTGAAGATGTTGGGTATGTAAGTTTTAAAACAAATGAATCTTTGAGTAATTATGCAATTGAAAAAATTGAACGCAAATGTGTAAATTTGTATGATACAAATATTTCAAAAATAACACTGTTGAACAGTGTTTTGGAAACTGTTCAAATGAAAAACCTTGTGTTGAAAGCATCAAGTTTTGAAAAAAATGTTATAAAAGAACTTGTACTTAATAATGTGACTTTTTATGATATGAATGTGAACAAATTGCATACATTTAATAGCTACTTGAAAAGAACTGGTTTTGATATTGGAACAATGAACAATGTAAACTGTTTTTCAAAAGTCGGTACTGAGGTGTCCCGATTTTTTGGATTTATTTTGTTTATTATTTTTGGGAATCGTTTTTTTGTAATAAAATTCGCTTATTTTTTCCAAGTAAAAAAGAAAAAAACAGTCTTCAAAAATTATTTTTTTATTTGGAGAATTTTTAAGCATTAAAAAATTCCATATAAAATTTGAAATAACGGGATTTTTGTTTCTAAAAAACATGTGAATTGTCCCAAAAGTGCATTTTAGTACAAAAGCAAATAAATTTAATGTCAATCTTTTTTATTATCAAACATTTCATTAATTAATGAAATATTCAGAAAACATAAGCTAAGTTCCGAGATTAGTATGCTTAGTAGTGTTGTCACAAGAAAAATAAAAATAACAAAATGATTTGATAACTTATCTTTGTTGGGTTTTATAAAGTCGACATTCTTTTTGAGCATTTCAGTGAGAACATCTTTTTAAAAATATCCAATAACAAAACATTATTGTTATTTTGTATTATTTTATTGTCTTTTCTTGTGTTGACCTTTGACAATTTGACTTATGCCTGTCAAAATTATCAAACATTTACTGTAATTTTTTTGGTGTTTTTTGAACTCTATATTTCATTATTTTTTATTCAGAATAGAAAACCACAGTTTGTTTTAAATTTCAATTAAATTTTAACGAAAGTAATATTCAGTTAAAACTCGACACGAACAACACCATCCAAATTCACTAAAACGTTAATTGTTGTGCTTTTAGGTCAACAATGCTGTGTATATGTTGCGAAGTATCGAGTTGTGGTCAAATCAAATAACGGGATCGGGGTTTTTGGAAAAGGCTGGCTAATATTCCGATATTTTCCCGAATTTGTACGAAAATAAATGAACGGGATTGGTATTTTTTTCAAAATAAAGTCGGTACTTTCGATTTTTTGTTTTTTATTTTTTTAGGAAAAAACGAAAATAAAAAACGGGACTTTAGGAAGTTCTAAAAATATGACAGTACCGACTTTTGAAAAACAGTTTATTATTCTCTGAATCTAACTTAGAAAATGTAAAATGGAAAAAAGGTGCAACAAAAATGTTGATACAAAATACAACCTTTTATAAAACAGTATTCGCAGATGTCAAATTTGATAACGTTATTTTCACAAACAACTCACTTCAAATATCAACATTTTTAGAAGTCGAATTTGAATATTCCCAAATTGTAAATTTCACAACAAAGAATGCCACCTTTATCGATGTTGAAATGAAAGACTCTTCAATTATTGATTCAAATCTAGAATTTAATGTTGAAAAAGAAATGAAAATAAAAAGGGTTTCTTTTTCAAATAGTAAAGTCAATATAGGAGGTGAAGGAAAAGTTCATTTTGAAGATGTGACTATCGAGAAAAGTGTGGTGAATGGTGTTTATTATGAAAAGAGGAGTGGCGACTTCATGATAGAGAAAGGTATAATGCAAGAAGATGACAACACAAAGAGTAATAGTAAAACAATCGGGATCGTTATTGGGGTGGTTATAGCAGTTCTGGTAGTGCTATTTGTTGTTGTAGTGGTTGTGGTAATTGGGGTTATTTATTGGAGGAAAAGAAGAGTTCAAAACGCCAATCCATACACTCAAGCTTCATAATTTCATTGTTCTTAGAAAAATTATTTTTATCATAATTACATAATACTAAAAATAAAAAAAAACAAATGTCATAATGAAGTAGTTAATATTTAATGATATCAATAATTAAAAACAGTTAAAATATTTATATAAACTTTGTTCAAAATTTTACTAAAATAATACTATCAAAGTTAGTCTAACACAATATAAAATTCAAATAGTATAATATATGTATTTGGGTTATAGCATTTGTTTTCAAATTCACAATTTTTTAAGAACAGTTTGTCTTTTAAATTTATTTGGTAACTTTTGGACCATAAAATTTGGAAAGTTTCGGGAAGCCGTACAAAAAATCCGTCCCAATTGTTTCGAGTTTTTTCACGTTTTACCTAATGCCCGATGTTTGGACAAAATTAAAGCTATTTTTTGTCCACTAGATAACGTTTGAGACCAGATAACGTTAAAAGACATACCATCAATCTTTTCAAAAAAAGAGAAGAGAATCAAAAGGATAAAAAACACTTAAAAATCATCAAAAAGAAAGAGATCAACTGAGATTTTCATGTTTAAAACCAAGCTGGAATGTAAAGACTTGATATACATCTCTACTTTCTTTCAATCTTTTGAAGATTTTGCTTACATCACAATGGTATGCAAAAAGTTTAAATATTTAATGGATTATTTCGAAATCAACCCAATCAGACTTAACAGCAGTACACTGAAGTACTTCAAAAACGTTTTCGTACTGCGATTTTGGGATGAAGAAAATGAGAATGAAAAATGTTATAAGGATCGTTGTGTGTGTTATGATTTAATTTACTAAAACAAATGGAATTATTGAACTATGTGATTTATTATAATTTATAATTTATATATTATATATTATAAATTATGAATTATAAATAATAATTCATCAAACCAAATGAAATATTATAATTTAAATTATAATGTTTTTTATTTTTTAATTCTTCAAACCAAATTTTATTATAACTTATAATAATTATACTATTATATTTAGTACTATATTTTTCATAAATTCTGTGATTATAAAAATAGCAATATTATTCCAAATCTAAATTACTATAATTTTACTATTTTATACTAAATAAATTTAACTTATAATTAATTTAATATAATATACCAAATAACATAAATAAACTATTAATTCACAAGAGAAACACCACTAAAAGGAATAAGACGACTTGAGTACAAATAGAATGGCTTCTCAAATTGTTATTTGCTTCAACAACACATTTTCCCATTGTGGTGCAAACAAACCCGTCTCGACACCGCCCACAAATTGGTGCACATCCATCTTTCCATCTGTTCATTCCAACGTCCAGCGACTTTTCATCGACCGTGCACTCTGTATTAGAACAATCAAAAGAGCTTTGATCGCATTGATGCAATTTAAGCATCTCTTGGATGGGGTCAAAGGAAGCTTTTTTAATCTTCAAAACATCTCCGGGCGCACTTTTATAGCGAATTGATATTCCGTTAGAAAACTCCTTGCATGTCTTGTCCATCGCGATTGATAGCGAGACGGTGTTGTTGACTTGTTTATATTGATACTTGAGGTTATCTCGTATAACAAGAATGCCATCCGTTCCCGAAGCCTTTTCTATATTCTTAATGAGGAGTAATTTGACATCGACAATTTCGAACTGAAAGTCCGTTATGAATTCACACCGGAGTTGTGTGTACTCTTGTGACATGAAAAACGCGGAACCGTATATAAACGATAACATGACATCGCCATCACCTTTATTGGTCGTAATCATTGGGTTTGACAAATTCAGCATTTCAGCCTTAAAAACACTATTCACTTTGAATTGATACCAAGTCAGGAGCGGATTAACCTTTTCACTCTCTTTTGAATATAAAAGAGTCGACGCTATAAACTTACAGTCGCTCATTATATAATGCGGGAAGGATGTCGTGCCAGTTGCTTTGTATCCCACTTGTTCGTAGACCGTCGGCATCCCTACTTTTTCAGAGTCTAAAGACACCAATTTAAAGTCAGTTGGATTCAAAGGCCGATCTATAATAAAAGTGTCGTCGTCTCTTTTGGGATACATCGTTTGACTCATTTCAATAAACTCAACAGGTCTGTTAACGTCATACACTTGTACCATCACGTCTTTTGCAGTGACATTGAGGACTAACACACTTGGAGAGACTTGAATTAAATAATCACATATAGCTACAGTCGCTTGGTATACGGAATCTTTTACATATGTTAATTGAGAACTCCCAAGCATAAAAAGTTTGGCTTTGAGTCCAATAATGTTTTCACCATTCTGCTCAAGGTTTTGGTTTTGATAGAACATGGTCGCAGACCCAACTACCATACAATGAACACTTTTCTGACTCGGACCAGTCACACTCAACCATTCACCACAGCGAGTCACATTCAAACTGTCTTTGTGGATGAAGAACTTTGAAGGACTGACATAACAAATAGCTTTCAAATTAAAGGCAACAATATCATGTTTGTAATTTGGAATTTGTTTATAACACTCAGAAATAATAGAAATTGTAATTTCACTTGAGTCCATGTTCACTGCAACAAAATCAGTCATACAATTCGTCTTGAGATTTTTGAGAGTTAATTCGTATGAAAATACAGTCAAAATATGGATCAAATAAATGAAACACATTGATGTTGAATAATAGTTTTGTGTTGTATTATATAAGGTTTGGTTATTGTATATCTGCGGTATTTTGTAACACTAAAAATATATGTTTAAAAACAACAGAAGTTCATGAAGCAATCCAATCAACTTATTTACCAATAAGTTGTAACTGATTTTTTTTATAAAATGAAACATGTCTTTACAAAAATATTAACCCAATAGAGTTTGCGATTTTCTGTTATAATGGAGTGTTAAATCCTATTCCTTCAAAAAAAAGATTTCACATTAAATAAATGGATCGACATTAACAAATGGTTATTGTTTTTGGATCAGTGAATTTCATTTATCTCCGATTTCGTTTTTTGTCCCATTTGGTTTAATTGTATTATTGTTAATTATTTTTAATATGTGATCGGTATTTGGTTGTTTTTAGTTATAAAAATAACTGAAAAGATGGCTTTTATAAAGATAAAAGAATTCAATTAAATTTTTATTGAATCTTTAATAATTCAGCGATAATGTAGTGTATTTTTTGAATTAAAATTTATATTTTGTGACTAGTGAATTAAAACGAATTTATTGTTATTTTCATTCAAAAAGAGAAAGAAGTAAAGTCAGTCAAACAACGTTATCTGCTTGAAAACGTTCATCTTTTCATTTATTTGTATTTAAAAAATATTCAAAAACAATTTTTGATAGAATTCAAAGCAAATAAAACTGTTTTTAGTTACTTTGTGTTTCCCCAAAGTTTTGTTTATATTTATGTTCTCATAGTTAGATCTCATTTTTGATATATACAACGTCAATATGTTTTTTGTTGCATTTAAAGCACCAAACATATGTTTTTCTAACGGGTATAAAGTCATGTTATAATTCCGTTTAGATAAACATTTATTTAAAAAAATATTTTAAATAAAATTTTAATTCTTGTTATTCAAAATATTCAAAATTTTTAACAAAAACAAGTGATGGACTTGACTGACTTATTCCAACAAGGCAGTGATGATGTCGAGGAATTTACCGAATTCGACTGGGTTGAATGGTTTCATTTGTCCGTAGTATGGATTCATGAAGAGCATTTGATATGAGCTTCTGCACTGTGCAGCAAACGCGCAGATAGCGACCCAGCAGTTAACATCGCAGACAGCCATTCCGAGAGAGAAAAGTCTATGCAACAAAACAGCTGTTCTTGGTTGGATGAAGAATCCCATTTGTTGCAATGCTGGTTGAATTTCGTGTGGTTCCATAGTACCCGATCTGTTTCTATCGTTCATCAAGAACAAGTTGAATGACATTTCGAGGAATTTGTACATTGCCTTGCTGTTATTTTTGATTTATTTTTGGTCTCTTAATACACACAAACAAACCATGAACTCGTAGAATGAGATGTGTCCGTTAAAATCAGTATCGAAGATTCTCATCATTCTCAAAGCGGTCTTTGGGCTCAACTTAATGTTGCCCGGGAATTGGCCCTGCATCAATTCATTGATCTCAAGAGTTCCACTCCTGTCTCTGTCGACGCCCATGAACCACATGTAGATTCTTTGGTACTGATCAATTCCAATTGAAGAAAGCAATGGGAACCACCATGTCCCTCTGATGGATGGTGGGAGAGCATAGACACATTGTGGGCATGAAGTGATGAAATTGCCCGGGACTGGTTGGACAGCCCACAAGTTGAAACTTTGTGGACCCATTGGTGGCATACCTGGTTGCATTCCTGGTCTGAACATATTGAAGTGATTTTTTAGAACGAGTGCAGCTTAAATGCGGCTGTTTTTTTATCTATTTGGAAGAACTCTTTATGTTTTGAGGAATTTAAATTGGAGTTTTTAAACACTTCAAAACGTTGATTTGCCATAACTGTTTATATTTTATATTATTACGATGTTGTCCCCAATTTCGTTTTAATTTGACGCAATTTTTTCATATAGTGGAAGAGGGAGGCAATATTGACTGGACAGAGAACTGTAGAAAAACGCGGCGACACGTGTCATTATAATGTTTGAATATAGTTTTAGATCCCCCTTTTGTCGGGATAATCGACCAATTTCTTAATTCGAAATAATTGAAAACATTTGTCGTGATGTTTTGTCGCGTTTTTATCAATTAACAACAGTGGCAATTTATTAATTTTGGTTATAACTTCAATCACGATGAATTAAAGAGGGATTTATGGTCAGATAAATTATAATTTTAATTATTTTATTTTCAAAAAATATTTTCAAATGAAACGAAAATATATATTTAGTGATAATCTTCATTGTTTGGGTCGAACATTTAAATATCAATTATTTTAAATAATTTACATTAAAATCAAATAACAATACGTATGATATCTAAATGACACGAGTTGTTAATGTTTTGTATTATTAAAGAGACATATTCAACGCTTATTTCAAACTATTAATTGTGTTTTTTGTCTCTTTGCTTAAAAAGTAATTTAAAAAGTCGAAATCTGAAGCAAACTTGGCATTTATTGACCAAATTCTACATTGCCAATAATAATAGTAATTTTTTGCCACTATTTGAAAAAATAAATAATAAAATGTGATGATAAAATCGAACAACAATATTAAGTTAAAAAATATAATTAAATTATCTAATTTGCTTAACATTGTATGTGATGAATATGAAATGGTATTTACAACAATTAATCGTATTGATTACATAATAACATTATTATTTAAAAAAATAGTGATGGTTGCAAAACTCATGGTTAATATATTTTATAATGATGGTCAATTCATTACATTTATATGAGTATAAACTTAATTATTATTCCTGTTGATAAATTTATATATATATATATATATCTTTCAATTATATCAAATATAAATAAAAATTGAATAATAATTTTGATTCATCAATCCTTAGTTTGATTATTGTTTGATTAAGTATAATTATATGGTGTTTTAATACATTGTTAACGTTTATTAAAAAATAGGAAAAATTTATGTTTCATAATTAATTTTGGTATTATATTAAACCATAATAAACATAACTTCAAACAAAAATCATATGTTTAATATTAATTGATAATCACGATATCTATTTATTATCTTTATAATTACAATGTTTAACCAATCAAACAAATAACTTTAATGTCAAATTATTTTAAATAAAAAGAAATTTGTTTTACTTTTAAGAATTTAAAAGAATTTCCAAACAACTTAAAAATTATGATCTTTATGAAAATTAGAACATCAAAAATTATTTAAAGGGGTTCTTTCTATTTATATAAGGTTTTATTTGTGAAAACCGAACAATTTTGTTTCAAATTAACCAAAATATTTTTTTTAAATACAATTGTTGATTCCTATATAAAAATTTATCATTTAACCATCCTATCAAATACGAAAAGCAATAAAAATGTGCGTATATGTTTTTGTTGTTTTTGTTATTAAGTTAAAATACAACAATTGTTAATTTTTCTCATCAAAAAATACATTAAAAATATAAAAATACTTTTTAAAAAATAGATAACCAAAAGTTGTTTTAAAATATAAAAACTTTTTAAGTCAAGTCAATTTAAATTCCTATTTTCTATTAACTACTATAACCTATTTATTATTTATACATTTTATGAAATTTACTTGGTGTTTGAAAAACAGCTCAACATTTCTAATAATTGAATAAAATGTTGTTCGTGATTTATACTTCAAAATATCTGGTTGCATTTAGAAAAGTCTTATGAAATGTTCTTTTGACTTCAGCTTCAAACAATGAATCAACACAAGACAAATTATATTTAAAAAATGACAAAAGGTCATTCTATAAAAACAATAAGATGCTATTTATTTGTCTAGTCTTGTTTTGTGATCTAACACGTGGAATGAACCCAAATAGCAACTCTGAAGAGTCTGCTTTGCTCCCCGAAGTTATCATCAAAATATTGCGTGTACTTGCATTATATGGACATCGCCTCAGTTCGATATTAAATTTATTAGAAAGAGATGTTTCTTCAAACAAACAAATTTTTACTTCCAAATTACCCGAAACTATTGCAGCAATGAAAGAATTGGAAGATCAAATTAATGCACTTCTAGATAAAATTGTACACCAACAAATGATACTCAAAAGTGAATTTATTCAATTGATGAAATTGATTAGTAATGGGTATAACATCCATGATACCGAACGCCCAAGTTATGGGAGGTACATTTTTCAACTCCAAAACAATCTCCATGCATTAATGAATTCACAATTACCAACAGAAATAAAACAAGTAATGAAAAAGAATTTTCTTTTGAAAATGGATTATTTCAGACTTAAATTGGGGTGTATGATACATCTTGCTAAATTTTTAAATTATGACCGAGACGGACTGTTTTTAAAAATGCAAACACAGTTGTACAATGTTGTTGCAAATATTGGTATAATTGAAGACCCATCAAGTAAAAGAATCGAACAACTCAAGTATTTCTTAATTCCAAAAACAACGTTACCAATACCTCCTCCCATCCCCAAACAACCAACAGTTAAACCAATGTTAAGTAAAACGATCAAAGAGCTATTAGAACAACCAGTAGTGATGCCGCCAGAGTTGCAAAGCATATCACAAATGCAATCAACACAACCAACAACAAAACAACAAACTCAACAACAAAAATCACCAAGTGAAGACTCAAGTGGTGTTCCAATGCATCACGGAGCTGGTCCACAAAGAATAAAGGCAAGAAGAATCCCAGTTAGGACAATTCCAAGAAATCCGCCAATACGACCACCTGTTATTATTCGACAAACGCCAATTCCACAACAACGTGATGTTATTGTTATTGGGACTGAAAATGATGATGGTGAACAAGCTGGACCATCAGGTTATAATACCTATTTCCCAAAAATACAACCTGAAGAAAAAGTACAGTCCTCTGCAAAAGCAACAACAAAACAAACAACTACAACAATAACCCCTCAACAAAACAGGCCGTCTGTTATTGTCTCAAAAAAGGGAAAACATCCCCTTCATAGTTCAAGACCCACTGTTATAAAAAAGAGAAAAATTGATGAATCAGAAACCACTGAAAGAACAATGGGAAAATCTGAAATTCCAAACATTGGAATAGAAGAATCCGATTCAAAAGATGTAATTGTTATTGACGATTAAAATGTATTAAAGATGAATAAAACGAGATTTTTGTTTGTTCAGTAATTTGTTTTTGTTTTGTTTGTTTAAGTAACACAAATATCACAAAACAATATTATGTTCAATAAAGTTACTTGTTTTTATTTAAAAAAACATCAATTAATTGTTTAATTGGTCTTTTAGACACAAAAATAAACTGAATGATTAATAAAAAATAATGAAGATTTAAACGGTGAAAACAATGTTTCCCATCATGCTGTTTGCAACAACATAAACAGTTGATCGGAAATAGTCGGGATTTTAGTTTTTTTTTATAAAAAGAACCATGAAAAAGGCAGAATACATTGGGAAAGTGTATAAAGAAATTGGGATCGATTATGTACACTGGTTCATACCTAATTTACACGTTGTTGAAATACACAACATCAAACTGCAACGGGGCGCACAACAATACAGATGTTGATGGAACTGAGTATATTATATATCCACAAGTCGACAACAACACTTTTAAAGCAGACGAAAATGGAAATCGTGTATTTGGAGACAATATGGATGGAGTTTACTTTAACATAAAATGTTTATACAGTCCTGGAAATATGAAGTATGTCAATATGGATAGATCACATGAAGTACACAAGTTGTGCATGAGCTTGTCTTTTGAAATAAAAATTTATTCTTTTGATTATCTATTCTTTATTTGAAAAAATTTTAGTGTTCAAAGTGAGCAAATTGCGTCTTTGTGAAATGTTTGAGTTATTGCTTCTACAGCAGAGACATATCGCTTGCAGTAAAATCGGTATTGTCAAAAACACCAACTCTTGTGATGATTGTCTGTCTGTTTTACATTGTGTTATTTTGATTTGGTGTTAAACGAAAGAACAAGACAATTTATTTAGTAGCTACATTGATAGCCGTGTTGATCGACTCGTCAAGAAGATCCTGTGGGAACTCCTTGATGAATTTCTTTTCGATGAGAAGGTCGGCACCTTCGCGTGCCTCCTTGATGTCCTTCTCTGCCATATCGTAGACCTGTTGCCACGTCAAATTTGTGATTCTCGCGACTCCGTCTTTGATAGCTTGCATAGCGACGTCTGCTGCCTCTCGTGGGAAGATGCCTGGCTCGTCCATAGTCCCAATGATGTTGTCTGGTGTGATTCCCCTCTTCTCTGCAAAGTCAGCAAGTGCCTTTGAAGCTGCGATAGCCATGTTGTCTGTGATTTTCTTTGCTCTTACAATGAGTGCGCCTTTCAAGATGCCTGGAAACCCAACAGAGTTGTTGACTTGATTTGGGAAGTCGCCTCTTCCTGTAGCAACGATGTACGCGCCCGCCTCCTTTGCTTCATATGGGTAGATCTCTGGCACTGGATTTGCGCAGCAGAAGACAATCGGCTTTGTTCCCATCGACCTGATCCAATCGCCTTTCACGACCCCCGGCCCGGGTGCTGACAGTGAGATAAGTACATCAGCGCCTCTGATAGCCTCTGGAATTGTCTTGATTTTGTCTGGGTTTGTTGTCTTGCAGATCTCCCATTGCCTGTAGAACCGCGAATCCTTCTCGATATCCTCACGCCCACTATGAAGAGACCCATTGATATCAAACATCACAATTTTCTTTGGGTCAGCACCCGCACTCACTATCAGTCGCAGGCACGTCGCATTTGCACTCCCAGCACCTATAAAGACCATCTTGATGTCTTCCAGTCTTTTGTGAACTAACTTGAGTGCATTGAGCAACCCAGCCAACGTCACTGATGCCGTGCCTTGTTGGTCGTCGTGCCAAACGGGGATGTCACAAGTCTCTCGCAACACGTCAAGCACTCTGTAGCAGTTTGGCTGTGATATGTCTTCCAAGTTGATTGCACCAAAGGTGTGTTGTATCCGCTGCACAAACTCTATCATCGCATCAGCATCATTCTTCCCAGCAACCTTCGAGTCAATGCAAATGGGAACGGCGTCAATACCACCCAAGTACTTCATCAGCAACGCCTTCCCTTCCATCACACCAAGCCCACCAGCAGGTGTCACATCGCCATCACCAAGCACTCGTGTCGAGTCTGAGACAACGCCAACAAAGTTGCCACGCATCGTATACAACAGTGATGAGTCGTTGTCATCGCGGATGTTTGTTGAAATGCGAGATACGCCGGGAGTGTAGTACGCATTGAACCAATTAAATCCGCACAGTGTGCACTTCGGCATGATCTGAATCTTCCCGCGATAGAATTTGTGCGCCTTCTCTGCAAGTGTCTTGTAGAACTCAGTCTGTGCCACTGCACGCTGTTCTTGCGTCAGAAATGAAGGGAGGCACTCGTCGAGGTTTGTCAAGTCTTGCTTCAGTTGTGTCATTGTTGTGAAGACAGTCAGTTCACACCTTCTTATATACCTCGACAACAACAAATAGTTAAAAAGAGGGTGACGAAAGGCGACATTGTGTTTCAATCTCCATTGAACTTTCATGGACATCGCATTGAACACGATGTGAATCTGAACAATTGCATTTTTAGGCTTCGAGAATTCCTATTTCCGGTCATTTCAACTGAACTTCAAAACTTTTGGTGCTTCGCTTTCTTCTCGAATACTTTGTCCGTCTGTCTGTTTGTTGAACGATGTGGATGTGCATTGAAGTGGTGTAATCTTTTAGGAAATAACCGAAATGATAAGCAGGGTTTGTATTATTAGGGATTCTCTTTTGTTCTTGACTGTTTTTGTGTTGTTTTTGTTGTATTTTTTGGTGCAAATACTCGGGATTATTTAGTGTTGTGTTGCCCGCTATTTGGTGGCTTTTTGTCGAAGTGCCTTCGAAAACTCACCAACCATAAGTATAGCACTTTATATTATATTATAACCACAACACAAATAATTACACATATAGATACTTATTACTATAACTCGTATTAAATACAACTTATACGACATCTTTGTAAACCAACAACACATACTACATAAGACAATCAATAAAAAATGAATGTACAACATCACTCTGTGAACCCAAAAGTGCCAAGTGGCAGAACAATTTTTTTCTGATCTGCAAGACTTTTTTTGACGATGTCTAAAACACCCTTTCCAGAGACCCACATCTGTTTTTTATCAAAAATCTGTCTTCCAGCCCAGTATATCGCTGTGATGTACTCTTCTTTAAAGCCACACTTCTTGCCTCCACATTCCCTCGTCTCAACAAAGAACCCAATTTCTCTCACCAAGTCGACAAGAAGATGGATGGTCTCAACAAAGATATTGCTGTTCTTTCTTCGAGAAGCCGTTTTCTGCTTGACACCACAATCAACTTCGTACTTCTCTCGCTCTTCACATCTCTCACGAACAAAGTTTTTGACTGAAACGCACTCGCAATTATTCCACACCGTGTCAATTCTGAAAAATTGCTCAAAGACAACAGCCCTCTTGTTTGGGAGGGAAAGGCTGATGTTGTACTTCTTGTTGATGAGTGCAATGAGGACCATCGACTCGTAAACTTGATTGTTGCGGACTTCTATAAACCTTGCCTTTCGTTCAGCAACTGTTTCCATTGAATGCCAACTGTTGTTTGCAGAGCTTTTATATAGATGTGCTATTCCGAGTACAATAATTCTCCGGAGAGCTTATTGATCCAATTGTTTGATAGCTTCTTGTTCGTTTTGTTATGGTTCATGTCTTGATAAAGTTAAATCCAAAGTCTCCAACGAAGTTCTTGATGGCTTGACATCTGGGGAATTCATTATGATATGGTGAAGGATCGCCAGTGTTGCACAATTGTATAAAATGGGGGTTAATTATATTGTTATGAGTCGTGTTTATACTACAAAGTTGGGTATTTGGGAAAATGAAAGAATAAAAATGTGGTTTTCGTATTCTTTTAAATAGGATTTGATGAAGACAATTTTCAAAAAGTAAAACGCAAAATAACGCCGACTTTCAATTCCGTTCTCACTTTTTTTTCGCCAGATGGTTTTTCTCAATGTTATATTCCTAATAAATGTGCCGAAATATAGAGTGGGTATTTGACAGTCTTGGCGGTATTTCACCATTTTGAACTTGAATTAGTCTATATTAAGTGTTAACAAATTTTATGTCGTCTTTTTTCATTTGAATAAACATTGCTCTATGTTCCTGATTCAATGCGGATGGATTTGGTGACATTGTGTTGTGATAGGTGCGACGTGTACCGATATCTATTGTTTAATTTCACTTTTTCAATTCTGTGAGCACACGTACACTTTATAAGATGCATTTAAATATTGTTCAGAAAAACTTTTTTGGTTTTGGGTAATGGAGGAATTATAGCAATCCGAAAGTGAATCCATCACGACAACTGTAAAAGTTTTGAACGAAAAGGGGTTCTTTTCTATAAAATTTATATCAAACCCAAATGGGCAGACAATTCGGGTAATCTCCCTAATAATAATCGTAAAATAATCGGTATAATTAGACTTGTAATGATTTACACAAAACAAAATGATGTATAAGTATTATTGGTATATAAAACTGTATATATTAATACATGATGTGGATTTGAATAAAGAAGTTCAAAAGATAAGCGAAAAAACAGTAAGTTATAGCATATTGCAATTGAATGTCAGCACCATATGAAGCTCCGATTCGGGAATTATGAAAAAATAACAAATAAAGGTTAGCAAAATCGCCAAAAAAGACTTTTTCGAAATCTTACGATACATTATTAAAATATAGTGGGGAAATTAGGCTTTTATTTTTTATGTTCTGCAAAAACGGCTTTTGGTTTGCTCAGACAACTAAAAACAGAAATAAAAATAGACGATGTCAAATATCTCTCAAAATTGTCTTTATTCTTAAACATAATGATATATTTACTTCATTAAAATTGTAGCTATGGCGTTTTTAAGACAAAAAAAAATCGGTTTGATAAAACACCTTGCACAAAGGTTCAGATGTGTACTTTTGTTCAGTTCTGTCATTTGACCGAAATTAAAAAATAGTACGAAAAATAAACAATGAGGTTTATCAATTTGAATAAAGGTGCAATTAAAAAAAAAACAAAAAAATACTCAAATTGTTTTTTAATAAATGGCAACTGAATAAAAGTGCAGTCATAAAATATAATGTATTATAAATATATTATAAAATTTGATACAATTAAATATATGATAATGTTTTTACTAATGTAATAATATAATAAATTATTAAAAATTATTTGTAAAAAGCAAATTGATATATCGCAAAATAGATACAGTAAAACCTTTTAAAAATTGAATGTTTATAAATTACTCCCAAAATGGGCATTCTTTAGACCCAAACCAAAAATATCAATTATACATTTAGTTGTTTCAATAATTTATTGAATCAAATTAATTATTCCTCAAAAAATTAACCCTCAAAATGTTTCATTGTTTTTTTTGAACAATATAATAACTTCAACATATTCAATTCATAACAAAAATTATAAACACTAATTGTCCTATTTTTAATTTTAATACAATGTTCAGTTTTTTAAGTATTGAATTCTTGTATGTTTTGATTTTTTATTATAGTCAGTCTGAAAACGTTGTCCGCTCTCCACCGTTGTCCAGGCATTTTTTGACCATCAAAACTGGAATATTTCGGGAAACAATTCGAAACAATCCCAAAACATTGTTTCATAATTTTTACCGGGATTTGATCGTTTTTACCTAATTCCTAAATTTTTCAACATATTTTGTGTAAAATTTTGTCAAATGGACAACGTTTTTAGACAGACTTTACCTTTAAAACAATATTTGGTTAAAAAACACAACAGAAACAATTTTATATATTAAACACCTTTTATTAAATTGAATTAATTTGGGTTTATTTTTTTGACTAAAATTCCAATAATAAAATTATACCTATTTGTTCTTTTTTAATCATTTTATTTGTGTCATATTTCAACAGTATAAAGCTTTAGTCTTTGATTAAAATATTTTTTATTTAAAAAATTAAGTTGTAAATGTGTATAATAATAATCTTGATTGTAGTAATTCTTGTATTACATTTAAATAATTATTTTTCATTTTAACTTTTGAATTGTTAATTTATTTCCAAACATTAATTTAATTCAACAATTAAACAAATGAAGATGTTTAAAATAATAATATCTATTATAATTTGACAAAACCACAATGTTTAAATTTAAAACCAAAAAAATGTGTGAGGAATCAAACAAAACAAATAAATAACATAAAGAACAAATAAACTTCATATACCTTTACACCTTCATAATATACCAATTCTTTAAATAATCTTAATTTGTCCAATACTGTATATTATTTGTTTGATTTGAACTTTAACTTATTAAATATAATTTGGGTTAAAATATGTAACTCAGAAAGGAACTAAAATATTCTAAAAATAATAAAAACCACACTAAAGTCAAGAGAAAGAACTGAACTTGAAAAATTTAATAACAAACCTAATGGAGACCTGTATTTCTGGTTATGTGTCAAAAAACACTTATCAAGTTCAAACCGAGTCAACAATCATCATGTCAAGCAATTCGACATCACCAAACTCTTCACTCGTTTCTTCTAGTTTTTTAAAGACGGCGACCAAGCCAACACTTAAACGAACTCGGCGGACGCGGAACAACAAAGGGAAGAAGACGGAGAGAGCGCTTCAAGCGAAGTATGAAGGGTTGTGGGATGTTGATGAAGTGAAAGGGACACTTTTGAAGTATGAAGAGGAAGTTGCAAAAGATTGTGCAGAGGCGCATCCGATTCCATGTGCTGTATTTTATGGGAATGACAAAGATGATGTGACAGACGATTCAATCACAGAAGAACAAAGCAATGAATTTGGAAGTGTGTTACAACATGTTAGTGATGAAGACAAAGAAGTGATGTGTTCATTGTGTGAGTTACTGAAAGAAGTGCATCCAATAATGAGTGACAAGAAAATTAGAACAGAAAGTGGAAGAATTCTGAACAACATCAGAACTTATGGGACGTGTGTTATGATGTGGAAGAAGAACATTTGTGACGAGATGAATGTCAGCAGTGTGGAGTGTGTGGTGAAGAGAATCGTTGATACACATCGAGACAACAAAACGATCAATGATGGGTTATTTGTGGATCACATGAGAATGTGTTACACCAAAATCATGTGTGGTGAAGTGTGGTGCTCAAGTGCGTTTGTTGAAGAAGAGAGAAACAGCGGGTTTTTGGTGTTTGACATGGAAATCATTCGTGTGATAGCAAAAGAAGGCATTTGTAGTATCGAGCGTGTTGTTGAGAGTGTCAATGTGTTATATTTGGTGATGAGTTTTGGCATCACAACAAAAAGTGGAGCGATTTCAGTTTTGCAACAAAGAGTGTCGTTTTTGAAAAAAGCTGTTTATTATGGCGTCTTTTGAGTGTAAAATGTCTGTAAATGTGTGTGTCTTATTGTTTGATTTGGTTTTCTATTTTTTAATTAATTAAAATTTTATGATTTAATAAGTTAAAATATTAATTTATTATTAAAATTTGTTTAAATTGACGAAACAAATTTGGAAATGAAATGTGTTTTTTTAAATACAACTTTTTAATAAATTTTTGAAAATTTTTTTAAGTTTATAAAAAAACGAAAAATTAATTTTTATGACAATAACAATAAAAATTATTAAAAATTTTTTGGTAATGAAAATAAGAAGAAACATATCATAAAATCATTCAATTGATTTTCCTAAGAAGAAGGCCTTTTGGCTTTTCTCGTCAGGAGATAATTTCTTTGTTACTATTAGTTCATAGTACTTTGCTTTTCCCATATCAGCAATTCTTTTGATGTGTTTACAAGCGATTTCCCCGCCTTGGGACCCACTTGAAGCCAAAGCAATGAACTTCACTTTACTATACTTCTCTGCTATAATTGGTTTTGCAGGAAAACACCCATCGAGAGGGGGCTGATTCCAATCAACAAGAGCTACTGTTCTATCTACAAACAACTTCACCTCACCGGGAAGGTCGTACCAATACACGGGAAATGCAAAGACAACGATGTCACTCTCAAGCATTTCATTGAGAAGTTTAAAACACTCGTCATTCTGGGAACATACAAATTGGTCGGGGTGCGTCCGACATTTCATACACCCTTTACACCCATTGAGAGGTGTCGTTGAGATGTTCACAAGATGTTCGACAACTGTGTGACTCACACGAAGCCCTTTCAAAAACGACTCGGCAAGGGCATAGCTGCTCCCCTTCGGGTGTGGGCTTCCCAGAATAATAAGGACTTTTAATGACATAATTTTACAGTTCAAGTTGGCGGTCTTAAATATACGATACGAAAAATCTTACTCAATTAATAAAAATTTGCGTTTAATTTAGTATTAAATATCTAAGAGTTTTTTCTTCAAACAAATAACTCATCTTTCTTCGTTTTATTTTATTCCTTTGGAAATTATTTGTTTTTCATGTGTTTGTAAAAACGTATGTTATAATCTTTACACCTGAAACTTTTTCATATTTAAAGTTGTTCAATCTATTGTATTAGACACAACATAGCTTTAGACGTATTGGACGTCTTCTAACTCGTTATTCTTTCATATCATAAAACATTTTTTTAAGTTAAAATGATGGATTCTTATGAAATATTTAATTGTACTATAATGTTGGTTATTTGTATAATACAGTATTTATAAATATTATTTAACAATTCGTTAAATTTTAACTATTAACCTTACGATTCTTTTTTTCTTTTATAAAACATTTTTTTTGGAAAAAATGTTTTGTTGATGGAAACGCCAATACCGTTGGTGTTTTAATTAAAACATTTCCAAATATTAAAGAAAAAAAGTAAAACCTATAAATTTATGTTTGCCCGATTGGTTTGTTTACTGTTTACATTTCAAAAGAGCCATAAGGTAAGTTTTTTTGTATATCATATCAAGTTCAAATAAAAATAAATTTGTGTTTTATTTAAAACAGTAACAGTATAGTAACTATTAAACACTATTTAACACTTAAAATTACATTAAAAAAAACATACTATCTGAAAATCGGGAAATTTTGAGATTATCAAATACTTTTCCTTAATTTTAGAAGTATATTATTTGCATTTTATTACATAAACAAAAAAACACTGAAGATTGTATATATATTCCTATTAAATAAGTCAATGCTAATTAATTAATAATCAATTAACTATGCATTTATTTAATTCAGATGACTGTTATAAAAATGTCTCTAACTTTTGTTTTCAATACAGTACTGTAAGTCGATCAATACTCAATATCACAACATTCACTTTAATTTTGATTTCTTTCTAATTACAGTAAAACCTCCAAAGAGCGGTACCTCTGAAGAGCGGGTTCTCTCAAGAGCGGGCATTTTCGACCAATCAAACATTGAAAACCGCTCGATAGAGAACTGACAGTTTATTGTTTTTTGTTCTAAATAATCGGGATTGTTATTTCTATTTTTTGGTAAATACCATTTGAATAATTAGAAAAACAAAAAAATATAATTAAAAAATATCAAAAAATGCAAAATTTTTTAAAAGTTAAAAAATGGTTGTAAATGAAAGTTTTTGCCAAAAAAACGATAGAAATTGATATAAAATAAATCAAAACTGAAAAATAAAATAAATACCTGAGACATGAGCCACCTCAGGTAGTATTTTTAAAGTTTGTTTTAACATAAATTACTAGATTTTAAATTAATTAAAATCTATTTCCATGGGAACATTTTTTTTTGTCACACAGTTCCTTGTACTGTTGTTTTATTTCTTTAAGTTCATCATTTTTACTCACTATCAGTTTTTTCAACTCTTCGATTCTTAAAGAAATATCTCATAGTTCTTCAGGTTCCTCAACATCGCCGGGCTCTTCGTTTTCTTCGATCAGATCTTCAATGGAATAGCCCGTTCCATCTCCCAAAATCCTTCCACCTTCTTCTCTGAACAAAGCGCGCTTCCAACATCCAATTATTGTTTCTGATGAAACATCATTGTTCCAACAGTCGACAGCATATAATATGGCATCTCCCACATTCATTTTGAGTCCTGAATACGTTTTTCCATGAGAATGAGCTTCTATAATTTCTTCTGCCTTTAAATTCGCAATTTTTCTTCGATATGCGGCCTTGAATGAGTGTATTATTCCTGCGTCACATGGCTGGAATACTGATGTAGTGTTTTTCGGTAGAAATTCCAGCCTAATGTGTGTCAGGTTTAGTTCATACACATGCAAACCCTTTTCGTTTAGTCCTTTGTAAGTGTAGCCGTGTTTCTCTTCTTCAATAGTCGTAGTTATGATAAGCTTGTGGCTTGGAGCATTATCTACTATAAGAAGAATGTTTCTGTTTTCTCTTGTGAGTGCTTCTTCCCATTTGAGTAGCCATCGATGAAACAGCTCTATGTTCATCCAAGCATTAGTTTGAAAGTCGTAGAATTGTTTAACTTCAGTGTACTTTCCATCAGAGAACCACCTTGGATTACTATACTTTCCAACGATCAAAAGATTTTCTTTTTCTCCACTTAGTGAACAGCATATCATAATTGTAATTCTTTCTTTATCTTCCTTCCCTCCATGGTTATCAAAACCACTTGACAATGTTTTGGAAGGTAACAGCTTATAGAAAAGACCTGTTTCATCCGCATTGTACACATTATTAGGAGCATACTGTGCAATAATTTCAACAAGATTATCAATTGCTTCTTTGTGTTTATCTGGGTCAAATGAATTGCTTTCTCCGCATAATTTCTTTGATTTCAGTTGATTTCTTGAACAAAACGACGAAATCCAACCATTTGAAATCATCATATCATCATATCCCTTTCGAAGCAGTATTTGGAAGCTAAGCTCTTGACAACATCGTAGCAAACTGGAGTATTGTATGATCTCACAGTTTCTATCACCTTGAGCATGTTCTCTTCCAAGTCTGGGTGTTTAACTTTTCTGAAAACTTTGGCATTACCTGGTATTGATTGCTCAATCAAATTTTCCTTGATACCGTGCTTTAACAACATTTTTAGAGACTCACGTTTTGGACATTTTTGTAAATTTTGGTTTATTATTTCTCTCAGTTTTTTCGTAGACGGTTTCGGGGAAGCATTAGCCCACTGTAAAATTTGCTTTTTTTCATCAATTGATAAAAATGTTTTTGGTTTTGGTAAAGACATGAATAAGTTATAAGATTATATGATTTTTTTAAAAAATGACATTTGTGAGCCAAATTAATCTTTGTTTAAAATCATCTTAATGTTAACACGTGGTAATTTTTTTCTTTTTGGATTATATTTCATTTTTTATATTTTTATTTTTACATTCCAAAAAAATGTTTTTTTAACTTTAAAAAATTGAGTTAAAAATAAAACGCCCGCTCTTGAGAGAACAAAATTTACCATACCCGCCCGCTCTTGGGAGGTTTTACTGTAGTGTTTCTATTGATTTAAGTTGGATAAAACCCGTAATTGTATTAAATTTTGTAACACTCTGAAAAAAACTTAAAATTAAAAAAACAGAAATTTTTTTTATTTAATGAAATTAATTTTATGAAAAGAAAAATTCCTTCTTGCCCTTCCTTTTATAAGAAAGTATATCATACCAGACATGGTTCAAAGACATATCAAGTGTATTCAACTCAAATACAAATCAGTGCCACACACACCCATACCACTCAACAAAAAATCATAAAACTCTTTTAGTCTCTGGTTCCTCTCCATTACTTGTTCTTTTCAGTGTAGTGACATGAATAGACAAGCAGTACATAATTTTCTTTGGTGCGACGTCCCTTACGACTCTCACACTAATCGGGTATTTCTCTTTCATCAATTCCCACGCTTTCTCCTGTAAATCCGTCGCGTCCTTCAGTGCAGAGAATCCATAGCATTTGATCACACAGTCCGCCAACATCAATTCGGGAATGACGTCCAAAAAGTTCACGGCAGTTGCTGGTAAGTTCATTAAGATGAAGTTCGGCTGTACTTTCAGTTCAAGCACAACCTTTCTCATATAGTCTCTTGCGTCCATGCACTCGCAGTTCAATGTGGCTTTATTCATCTCCGCGTTGATTTTCATGTACTTCACACTCGCAGGATTTAAGTCGTTTGCGTAGACCAGAACTCCTTTCAGTGCGGCGGGAATAGCAAACGGGCCGACTCCCGCAAACGCGTCGATGAGGGTCTCGCCCTTCTTCATTTCACCAACGATGATTGTGTGTTCCGTCTCAAGGCGGGAGTTCCAATAACACTCGGCAAAGTCCAATTTGAATTTCACGCCGTGACAGACGACTTGGACTTCAGTCGACTTCTCGCCGGCAATCACTTCGAGTGGGAACGTCCGGAACTCGTTTGTGATTTCTTCCAATTTAGTTATCACCGTTTTAATGCGAGGAAAGTTCTTTAATAACAACGCCTCACCTATGTAGTGCTTGTACTGCATTTGTTCGTCCTTCAAATTTAAATGCGCTAAAGAGCCAACTGTTTCAAAGGACGTTGGAAGGGTGATCTCCTTTGGGATGTACTTCCGCATCACTTCTTGTAAAGTGAAATTACTAATTGATAACTTCACTTGTGCCTCTCCTATTGAAATATCCGGAAGAATCTTTTTAACTTCGTCCAAAAAGTCTTTTGAAAGAAGAATCGTCCGTGTGTTCGGATCTTTCACAACAACACATTTGAACTTGACACGGGTGTAACACATCCCTTTCAATTTCAACATGTAGGAAGACACTTCAGAGGACTTCACATCAATCGAAGGAACTGTTTCAGTGACATCAAAATCAGACGGATGAATGAACTCCGTTTTTGGTAAGTCGGTTGTTTGTGTTGACATAATGTCTTATTTAGTTAAATTTTTAGTATTTGTTATTATAAAAGGGTTATTAATTAATAAACTATTCTTTTTTTAATGAAGAAAACTAAAAATAGTTTAACTTTTTTTGATACTAAAAACTAAACTATTTTGTTAATATAAAAATATACAATTTATTCATGTGAAAATAAGTTATAAATTATAGTTTTCAAGTAGTTTTATTATAGTATAAATAATAAAAAAATGGTACAAAGTTATTTATTAAACACATAAAACAAGTGATATGACTCAGGTTTGAATTTTTATTGTTTTGATGTTTCATCGATATTGTTCAAAAAACAGTAATAAATTTTATTGGAATTACAATTATAATTAATTTGAAAACAAAAATATAAATATACAAATATATATAATAGTTAATGACTTTTGTTTAATTTCGATAAACACATTTTTAATACAGTATAAGGAGTCTATTTGTCGTGAATCTAGCAGAAAAACGACTCTATTTGTCGTAAATGAGTGAATTTTGTAGAAAGATCTTTTTAATATTGAAATTTACGTTTTATAAAAAATTTAATTTTTAATTCAACAGAAGTTACAGATTTGAGAAAAAAAATATTTAATTGTCGTACACCAAAATTATTGGCCAGTTGTGCGACAATGATAATTAAGACAAATAGACGCCTTTGAATGTAATACAAAGAAAAGTGTTTATTTGTAGTGAGTTTGATTTCAACTATGCTATTAAATATTATTTAAAAAATTATTTAATGTTTGTCAAGTGTAAGTAAATTGCCCCCTTTTTATTTTTGTTACATAAGTTTGAAATTACTAAATAGATTTAGTAAATATACTAATATTTTTTTATTGTTTTATAAAATATTTTTGTTAAAAAATGACCAAAAATCATCAAAGTGAATCAACTCCTGAGTTAATTTGAGCTTGTTTTGATCTCATCAGAAACTGTTGCATGACATTGATTGCTCCTTTAATACTCTTTTTGTTGGTCATTATTTGATCATTATTAAGTTTGAGCAAGTGTTCATATATTTCATTTGGTCCATAAATAATTATTTTGATATCATTAATCAGACCGTTGTTTCCATTTTTCATTCTGTTGAACATATTCAATACTTTGAAAAACATCTGGACTGACTCTTAATAATTGTTCACAAAATTGGCATTTGAAAAAAATTTGGATATTCCTTGTATAAACTTTTTTGTCTCATAAAAGTCAAATCCGTTTCTTTTATCCTTCAAAACATTTGGAATTAATCGAAAAAGAGCATTAATAATACTTTCAAGTGTATGGAAGAAACGCATTTCATCTCCTAAAAAAACATTGCCAGAAAGAGGTTTAAGAGTATCAAAGGCTTTCAAGTATTTGATTAATACAAGTCGGATTTGGATTAATTCAGAACAGGCAATTTCACCAATTCGTCGATTTGTATCACGTTTCACCGTTTTTGTGACTATTGATTGTGTGGGAGAACCACACAAACTGTCTTCATTTAATTGGAATTGGTATTTTTTTGTTTGAGTTGTTAATAAACACAACAAAAGAGTTGAGAACATATACAATACCTTTTTAAAGTTTAAAAAAAGATTTAATACAACAGAGGTTCGAAAGTTTTTTTAAGACATTTGAAAACAATGAAAAACATGTGGTTTTTCTTGAATGAGTGTAATTTTTTTCTCAAATTAGTAATAAAATAATTAATTTAACTATTATGCATTTGTATTTTTAAAAAAATATTCAATTAATATTTTTTTATAACATAAAAATTTGTTATAATTATTTCGTACCCATTTTACATTTCACAAAGCCAAATTAAACATTTTTTGAATTATTTATCTTAATGTTGTTGGAATAAATGTAAAATTTTTAAAATAAAGTGGGTAGTTTATAAATATATGAAATAAACAATTTAATTTCACAATTTTAATAATATTATATATGTATTTTAATTAAATATTTTTCTTTACATCAATAAATTTGCATTAAGATGTTGTGTAACAAACAACCAACAAAAAAGAATCTTTTTTTTATGAAAGATTTAAAAAATTTTTTTAAATTTTAAAAGTTGTCAAATTGCATGTTTTTGTTCATAATAACAATTAATAATATTTTTTTAATAATGTTAACGTAAAATGAATTTTACAAAAATGTTGTTTCTCAAATAATATTAAAAGTTTTTATAAAAACCATATTTTTTCATTGTTAATTTGTGTTTTGAATAATTATTATTGAACCAAAACATACCTTTTTAACACAACAAACCATTATTTTTATACAAACAAAGTTTAATTTATAATTTAAACCTTTAAAATATTTAACAACAATTTTTAATTTTGGTGATGATATATATACCCTTTTAAAAAGTTTTATAATATTTTAATAAAAAATAAACATTTTTATTTAAGTTCTGGCTATTTATATTAAACCAACAATTGTTTTATTTGTGTAAATATGAAATGTGGTCTATATAAAATTTAAAAAGTTATCTTATTTATTGTTTTTTCGTGTATGTTTGATACGTAGAGAGTTAAATAATAAAGAATATATAACATCATTTTAAAAATTAATATAATAAAGAATAAAATATATTTATTTATCAATATTTTGGCAAATATTTTGAGAATTAACATTTGACATTATTTGTGTTTTGATTAATTGATATATAATTTATTTATCAACATAAAATCGAAATATTTTTTCAATTGTTATTTCAAATACTAAGATTTCATTTACAATTTGTTTTATTTCAGATATTAAAAAAGTTATTTATTTGATTATTTAACAAAAAAAGAATCAGATGTTTTGAAATCGTATATTAATGTTATTATTATTAACTTAATTCAATTAAAGAATGGGGAGAAATAAACACCAGGGGAGAAAGCCACACCACATTTTTTCACATGAAAATTGTTTATTTTTTCGGGAATTTTTTAATGGAATTTTTCTTTGAATTTTTCTTCCCGAAAATTGACTTGAATTATATACTGAAAAAATGTGGTGTTTCTTTCTCCCCTGGTGTTACTTTCTCTCCATATTGTAATACATTTGATCATTTTAATATGTTATGTCCAAGTATCTTTGTGTTAAATAAACAATAAAGATAATAAAATCAAAATAAAAGTTTTTTTGGTTATATTATCTTGTTAATATTTTTGATAAACGCAACTAAAAAAAACATAATATATTAAATTTTACTATTAATTATAAATAATAATAATTTTAAATTATTTATTATTATATATTTATTTTTTTGACATGTTATAGTTTATAGTTTATCATATTATTGGTTTTGTATTATTAAATACAATAAAATGTTCTTAACTCTTTTGTTGAACTTTTCTTTAAACTAATGGAATTCAAAAAGGCGTTGATTGATCTAAAAATTCGAACAATAATAAAGAACTGATAATTTGTCGGGGTTCGATAATCTTTGGAGAATCGTCTTTATGCGTTCTGGGCTTTTTTCTAATTAATTGATTGGTCTTTTTTAATTGTTTTTCTAATTTTTAATTTGAAGTATTTTCACTCATTTAAAACTTTAATATTATTCATTTTACCTGTTTTTCAGGGATATATACGACTTGTTTGCGCCCATTCCCAAATCAACCAATACATTCTTTTCATATTATAAAGCTTTATATTAAAGGAAAATTAATAAACAAACTACACATTTCCCAATCGTTAGACCGTTTCTTTTTGTTCGAGGTATATTATAATCAGGTTTGACCTTGAATTGGATTAAAAATAGTATCTTAGAAGTTGAGCATTAGAATTATTCTATTTTTTTGTAAAAATGAGTCTTATTTTTCCTTGTAAATCGGCAAAAATGAAATGCAAGTAACTGTGCACGTCATCAAATAAATATAAAGGTGGTTTAAATTATAAATTCCGAAACCATGCCACCAACAATTCACGCCGATAAATGTGTAGGATGCGCCGACTGCGTCAACGCTTGCCCAACTTCTGTGTTGGAGATCCAAAACAAGGTTTCAGTCGTTGTCAGACCAGACGATTGTGTTGAGTGTCAAGGATGCATGGGTGCATGCACTCATGATGCCATCACTTTCGACTAATTTAATTTAAAACACGTCTTTATGTTTCACAACAAAAAGTGATACTCTTTGAGTAAATTGCATTAAATAGAAGTTATTATAAAAGAAAATAAAACAATAAAACGGTTGTATATGTGTTTTGCAACTGTGAAATTAATTTCGAAATTAAAATTTTGAATGGTTTAAAATGACTAAAAGTGTTTTATTTGGTTTCATGTTTCCCATCGTTTATCAAAATACAGTTTAATACCACACCATTTATTTTTTATATTAAATGGTGTTGTTGTTTTCGATTCAATTAACAATCACATTAAACAAAAATAATAAAAAATAAAATTTTAAACAAAATGTTAATAACTTATTAAATAATAGTAAATAAAAAAATAATTAAGGTGTTTTAATAAAAAATTTGAATAAATGTATTTTATTACAGGACACATTTAATATTGATTATGACGGCTACATTTTTATTATTAATTGATAATATCATATAACGTTATTAGCATGTTGTATATTAATTATTTAATTGGATTTATCATTTAGCCCGGACACCATTTAAATACCAAGTTTAGTAGAATAATATAGAATTAAAACCATCAAAATAGACAAGATTTCAATTAAATTTATTTAAATGTTATGGTTTTGCACTCAAATTATTAGACAATTGAATTGTTTGAATCAAATTTTTATTTATCAATTTATCAATGCTTTATTGTTTCGTCTTTTTAAATAATTTTGTTTTAGTCAATTCAATCACCAATATAAAAACATTAAAAAAAAGTCAAACGTTTAAAAAAATAGGAATGGCTATTATTTATATTCAAAAGTATGCATTTAAAATATAAAATAATTAATAGTGGTATTATTTTTTATTTCCCAAAAATACATGATAACTTTAAAACCTCCTCAAATTGTTTTTAAGGATTATATTTATTGTTCTAAATGTAAATTATTGTATACCTTTCATGAAAATACATTTGCATTTGTTTAAACGTTTGTGTTTTTATAATATATAAGTGAGTTATTATCTTGTATGAAAAAATTATAAACATCATTATAACATCAAATGTTTAATTGTTTTCTAAAACCGTGATACTTTTAATAAATTCTAATGCGATCAATAAATCAAAGCACTTTATAAAATTGATGATAAAAAACTCATTTTTTCAAAGTTTTTATTTTAAAAATATTTCTTGAAGGGAAAAAATTATAATTCTTTTCATGAATGTAAATATGTTGTAAAAAATCTGTTTTAACATCGTCTGATTTTTTTAAACAATATAAATGGAATAATTCGGGAATTCATTTGAAATCCCCAACATTGATTATAAACAGTATCTCCAAAAAACAAATAATTACAAGATATCAAAAATATAATTATATTATTATTAAAATATCCATACAAACGGGAACCTTCATTAAAATATTAATTTGGAGATTATCTACATTTTTTGGAAACTTTTATTATACACTAATTATCCCAAATTTTTTGGGAATACTTTACAACAATTCTTAAAATAGTCGAGATAATAAAACCAAAAAAATATAAAAAAATATAATTTTGAATAAAACAACTTTTTATTGAAACAATTTTTTAGTTGGAACCACGAAAAGGCACATCAGTATTTTTGGCTAAAAAGATGGTGTTTTATGTGTAATTATTTAATGTATTAAAGGTCATATGGGGTAAATGCCGAATTTAACAAATAGTGTTTTGTTCCAATATATTTTTTTTACTTTTTTTTTGAAGGTTATAAAACTATAATTTTATGATATAAAAACTATATACAAACTACAATAACTGTAATGCTTCAATACTTTGTGAACCAAAAAACAAAAAGTACAACCTAAAAAAATTTGGTTTTTTAAAGTGTTTTATTTAGCCAGTTTTTGTCAACATAATTATTTAAGTAAATTTTCCCATTTATATAAGTTAAAAACGACTGGTTTATTCAAATAATAATAAGTTTGAGCAAAATTTAAGCGACACAATACTTCCAAAACACAAAAACTTTTCAAATTGATATCCAAATAATTTGTATTTTTAATTTCAAAAAGTTAAAATCGAAGAAATCGACAATTGTTTTGTAATTCGAATCGAATTAGAAAATTTTGTAAATACAATCGTTGGAGTACTGATAATTTCAATGGACGTTATTGTAACGCGAATTGTCATTTTTTTAACGTTGATTCCACTCGTATGTTCGCTCCAGTGGTGTTATTCTAATAACAAAATAGAGTGTTTTGCTGAGCAACCAAAAATGTGCTTTTCACATACTTTTGTGTATTCTAAGGGAATTTTATTTTTCCCAAATGAGACTTCTGTTGTTCTTCAATGTTCGGTACAAACAGACATTTTTCTTTCTATTAGTGAGACTCTCAAGACTCTTGACGTTGTTTTAAATAACTCAAATTTGATTTTCACAAACACAGAAATTCAGTACAATCATGTATATACCAAGTCATACTCTTTCACTCATAGTACACCCGACTCTATACTCGAAGTCTCCACACAAGACTTTATCGGTTCAATTTCTCGCATCAAAAGTCACATAAAGTCCGACAAATTGTGTTTTGGTGTGTACATTGAAAATTGTGAGAAGTGCCAATTCTTCTCTTCTTCGTGCTCGAAGTGTAAAGAAGGATATGGTGTTGCTCAATGTTCGACTGGTTCTCAATGTTTGCCACAAGACCAAGAGGGGTGTGTATTTACGTGCCGCCCATACAATTACTTAACAAAAGAGAATCAGTGTTGCCCAACACATTGCTCTGAACAACAATGTTCAACTACAACATCTGGCACGTGTACTAAATGTGAAGATGGATATACCCTTTTAAATTCTCTCTGTCAGAAATGCACTGATCTTCACTGTCAAACGTGTGACCCAAGTCACTTGGAGATCTGTCAAAAATGTGAGTCTGGATATTACTTAGACAATTTCATGTGTTACAAATGCAGTGAAAATTGTTTGAGTTGCACAACTTTAGACACTTGTGAAATGTGCAAAGAAAATCACATCTTCAATGCAGAAAAATGTGTCTATTGTGACCCCACGTGTGGAGGCAATTGTGATTTGACTACGAGTAATTGCAAGTCGTGTTTGAGTGGATATGTGTTTACCACCCCACTGTCTGAAAAGTGTGAAAGTTGTTCTTCTTTTGACTCAAACTGTCTGACTTGTTCGCCCGACTTTTCAAGAAATTGCTATATTTGTAATTCTGGATTTTACCCACTGATTTCGGGGAAGTGCACGTCCTGTGACGTTTCATGTAATTCGGCAAAGTGTAGTCAAACCAATGGAATCTGTTCTGAATGTGCAGCCTTGTACACCAAGAAAGAGTCAGAAAGTGTATCTTGTGAACTTTGTAGTTCTTATGATCCAAACTGCCAAAGTTGTTCAAAAACAGCACGAAAGTGTGAGACGTGTAATTTGGGGTATTACCCAGCTACTACGTCACCTTTTAAATGCAAGGAGTGTGATATAAGTTGTTCTAAAAAGTGTAGTACTACAACCGGATATTGCACTTCATGTTCTGATAATTACGTTTTGAGACTTTCAGACTCTATTACATGTGAATTGTGCTCGTCTTTTGATACAAACTGTGACAGATGTGCAACCGACTTTTCAAGAAAGTGCATTTTATGTAAAGAGGGGTACTATATTAACACTGCAACAAATCGATGTGTCCCGTGTGAAAGTAGTTGTTTAAAGTGTTCTAAAACGGATGGTATTTGCATTACTTGTAAATCGACGTATGTTCCCTTTGAAATGCCACAAAAGACGTGCCAGAGTTGCACTGACTTTGATTCAAAGTGTTCGAAATGTGCTGATAATTCGACTCGAATATGTACTGAGTGCAGCACTGGGTACTATCCTTCTCCACCAACACACAAGTGTGTGACTTGTCACTCGACATGTTCAACAGATTGTGATCCAATGACTGGGATATGCAAGTCGTGTAATAGTGGGTATGTGTTTACAAATCCAGCATCACTTCAGTGTATAGCTTGTCGGGAGTTTGATGATCATTGTTCGACCTGTGGTACTAACGGTCAACGGAAGTGCATTACATGTAACACTGGGTATTACCCTTTGTCTTCTGGTACATGCAAAACATGTGAAACAACTTGTAAAGCAAATCAATGTAGCAACACTACTGGAAATTGTAATAGTTGTATTGATGCATATGTTATTACATCACCAATCAGTCCCAATTGTGAAAGTTGTACAACGTATGACAAAAACTGCTTGATTTGTTCGACTACTTCACAAAGAAAATGCATTGAATGTAACACAAAGTATTACTTAAATACCGCGAGTGACTATAAGTGTCTTTCGTGCTCTTCTTCGTGTGGAAATGGGTGCGATAAAGTGACTGGAATATGTAATGGATGTGCTACAAATTACGTGCCAAAAACAACAATGGACAAAGAGTGTTTGTTATGTAGTTCGTTTGATAGTGCGTGTGTGACGTGCGTTTCCAATGAAAGAAAGTGCTCGCAGTGCACAACAAATTATTATCCAAGTCCAACTAATTTTATGTGTACAACATGTGATGCAACTTGTAACAAAAATTGTAATACGACAAATGGAGACTGTAAAGGATGTCTAGAAAATTACGTCTTTTCTACAGAAGACACCAAAAAGTGTGTGAGCTGCACTTCTATCGACTCGCATTGTTCAAAGTGCTCATCTACTTTTGAAAGGAAATGCACGACATGCATGTCTGGGTATTACCCGGACACTAATGGGGTGTGTACACCTTGCGATTCCACTTGTAAAACATGTGACGCAACAAATGGCGTTTGTATTGCTTGTAATGACGGGCGTGTCTTCACTTCTCCCAAGGGAAAAACATGTGAATTGTGTAACACAGTAATTGCCAATTGTGAGAGTTGTTCAGCTTCTTATGAAAGGACGTGTATTGCCTGTGTCACAGGGAAGTACCCCAGTAATAACATCTGCACCGATTGCAACCCAACTTGCACTGGGATGTGTCGTTCGAATAATGGATTTTGTGACACGTGTATTTCTGGGTATGTCATTACTTCTCCACTATCAACCACATGTGTAAATTGTAGTGTTTTTGATCCATTGTGTGATGAGTGCACTGGCGATAGTACCAGAACATGTAAAAGGTGCAAAGAGAACACATACTTGACATCTTCAAAAAATTGTCGAAATTGTGACACTTCATGCAACAATGTGTGTGACTCAACGACTGGCAAGTGTACTCAATGTAAATCAAATTACGTCTATTTGGAACCACTGGGTTTGACATGCCAAGAATGTTCTTCTTTTGATTCAAATTGTGAGACGTGTGCAACTGATTTTTCCAGAGTGTGTATTTCATGTAAAGCGGGCAGTTACTTAGTAAACGGAAGATGTCAAACGTGCGATTCAACTTGCAACAAACAGTGTGATAAAGTAACCGGTGCGTGTACTGGTTGTCTTTTTAATTACATTTACTCTTCAACTGATCCCAAAAAGTGTGTTATGTGTAAAGACTTAGATGACAACTGTAACACCTGTGCTTCTAATTTCTCACGAAATTGCATCTCTTGCACAAACAAGAAATACGCCTTAAACGGCAAATGTGTTAATTGTGTATTAAACGACACGTGTACCAACTGTGATGGGTCAAATGGAAATTGCGTAACTTGTCAAGACAATTACGTAGCAGTTGGTGGCGGGAGTAGTGCCTGTGAGAAGTGTTCCAGTTTTGACTCCAATTGTGCTACATGTGCTTCTGACACTTCACGAAAGTGTGTGAAATGCAATTCTGGGTATTATCCTAAGACAGTTGATGACTACAAGTGTAAAGCATGTGACACTACATGTGGTGGTCGTTGTAACACTGAAAATGGGTATTGCACTGGATGTAAAAATAATTACGTTTTAATAAACCCCTCCAGTTATACGTGTCAAAGTTGTACTTCGTTTGATTCAAATTGTTCTACTTGTTCTTTAGATTACTCAAGAAAGTGTTTAATATGTAAAACAGGTTATTATCCAGGAAGTGATGGTGTCTGTAAATTGTGTGATACATCATGTCAAGGCAAATGCTCAACAACAACTGGTATTTGCAGCAGTTGTAATGCCGGGTTTGTTGTTACCAACCCAGTCAGTGCAAAATGTATAACTTGCACCACTTTTGATTCAAATTGCATCACTTGTGCTTCTGATTATTCCCAAAAATGTGTTAAATGTAATATAAATCATTACCCGGATTCTACGAATGGATATAAATGCAGAGAGTGTGATTCATCATGTTCAGGACTGTGTAATACAGAGAATGGAAAGTGCTTTACGTGTCCTTCAAGTTATACACCAACAAATCCAGTGAGTTCAACATGCACATTGTGTTCGGATTTTGACTCCAATTGTCAGAAGTGTTCAACAATTGAAAGAAAGTGTGTTGAATGTAAACCAAACATGTATCCTTATTCAACAACAAGTGAGAAGAAGTGCATATCATGTGACAGTTCATGTAATGGACAATGTAATGTAACAACTGGAGAGTGTCTTGCATGTACCTCCAATTGCGTGTATAACCCAACAAACACTTCCAAGTGTGTCTCATGTGATGTTTTGCATTCAAATTGTGTAATTTGTTCGAGCACCTTTAAGAATGAAAAATGTATTACATGTAAAAACAAGTACTTCCTCGACCAGAACACGAACAATTGTAATTTGTGTAATGTTATCCCAAATTGTGACACTTGCAGTACAACAGAAAAGAAGTGTATTACATGTGTCCACCCCTATTATTTATCTGGAGGAGTTTGTAACACATGTGCAGTTGGTGAATTCAAAAATACAGAATCGTCGTGTGCGCAGTGTATTGATCGTATTGATAATTGCAAGTACTGTAATGCCACTTCTCTGAATGTGGCGAAATGTATTGAATGCTATGCACCATATGTTCCAGACACGAATGGTAGATGTGTGCTCTGTGCAGAAGGTACTTATTACAATACAAAGAAATGTGTGCCAATTAACTCCAATTGTGTGACTCAACTTAGTGAGGGTCGGTGTACTAAATGTGTAGAAATGGGATATATCACAAATGGAACGTGCGTGACTCCAACAACATGTTCATCGCCTAACACTATAACAACAACGTCTTGTGATTGCACTGAAATGATAGCAGTTGGTTCTCAGTGTCAACAACGCGTGGCTCATTGCAAATACGAGAAGGTATTTTCTGAGCACTCTGAGTGTCTTTCCTGTGACGATAATTACAATTTAATAGATGTGACTTGCCAAGTAGAGACCAATGGAAGTCTTATACAAAACACTGTTTACTTTGGCTGTCCAAATGGACAATTTTTAAGGAATGATAATACATGTCAAGAATGTCGAAATCTTGGGAGTGTATGTACTTTATATAATAATGTGTATTTCGACTATCTTTGCAAATCAACAAGTATTATCGACATCGAAGATTTTAAATGTACAGAAGACGCAAATTGTGCTCAAATAGCAAATAATTTGTGTGTCAAATGTTCACAACTTTCCACTGAAATTATCAAAGGAAAATGCTCAACTTGTAAAGTCGAAAAATGTGAGACGTGTAATGGAGGGACGTGCCAAAAGTGTGTTGATGGGTATTTGGTGTACTCTCCAACACAATGCGTTGCTGTTGAGAACGTCAATTGTCTTCGAGCCACTTCAGTTGGATGTGTCCAATGCGCTGATGGATTTTATCAAACGGATTCTGTTAATATAGAAGGAAAATATGACTACTGCCACTCTATTAATGCTGAAGAGAAGTGCAAACACAAAGATGTGAAACATGACAAGTGTATTGAGTGCACTGATTTGTACCAACTGAAAGACGGCGTTTGCAAAGAAAAATTTGATTCTATTCTCGAGGAGAATACAACAACTTTTGATATAACAGAATCCATTTTTAATGCAGAGAAAAATAAAAATGATACATCAAAGGGTGATGCAAAAACAGAAGAAAATAACACTGAAAATTGTTTAGAACGGACAAATAAGGGGTGTTTCCGTTGTGCAGACACTTATTATAATTCTGATGGAATTTGTCTCCCCTGTACCAAAAATTGCAAGAGTTGTTACAACGCCACGTATTGCACTAAATGTCCCGAGCAATATTATTTGAACTTAAACATGGAATGTCAAAGCTCAGGTCAACTTGCAATAACATGTAGTTTAACACTTCCGAATGGAGCTGGGTGTGCTATATGTAATGACGGTTACTACAAAGTGTCCAAAGACTGTTTAGAGTGTGATGGATCGTGTAAGACGTGTTTAATAAGTGATGAGTGCTCGAGTTGTAAAGACGACTATTTTGCTCTTCCTGAAGAGTCCAAATTGTGTTTTCCAAAGAGTAATTTAACTCATTGTGAAGAAGTCACTGGAACTGGTTGTAACAATTGTTCTGTTGGGTATTATTTAGAGAAAAGACGATGTCACAAGTGCATGGAACATTGTGAAAAATGCACAAGTCTTAATACGTGTAACATGTGTACATCTAAAGACTATGTATTGGTGGATTCTGTGTGTAAATTGTATTCAACAATCGAATTCTGTGTCTCAGCAGAAAACTCGAAGTGTACTTTATGTGAAGGATATCACGAACCTTCGGAAGACGGTGAATCATGTGTCAAAGCAGTGAATTATGGAGTTGTTGTAGGTATTCCAATTACTATAGTTATTCTATTACTTATAATAGCGTTAGTGGTAGTTCTGATAACACTACAAGTAATTAACAAACACAAGGAGAACAAGAAGACAAGAAACATCTGCACCTTTGTGATGGCGCGCTCGAACATTTCGATGACAAAATTGAACGACAATTTGGTCGCAAACAAATTAAAAATAAAATTTGATTTAGACGGGGAGGATCTCATTCCAGTTGACAAAGACACAAGAGACTTGATTTGTATTGGCAACACGTCCAGCCACAAAATCAAGTTACAATTTTCAGTGGTAGAAGGGTGCGACTATTATGAGATCCGAACGATCCCAGCCTTAGTAACACTGAAGAAAGGGGAAGCGTGTGAGTTTGAGCTTTACATCAAGCCGCTGTGTTGTTGTGAAATTAAAGAAGACATTATGGTGATCGCACTCGACATCCAAAGCGGTATTCAAACGACGCAGAAAATAACAGTCGAAACAATAACTGAAAATTCAACAAAACTGAATTACAGAGAACTCGAAGAAACTAAGAAACTTGGGGAAGGTTCTTTTGGGATTGTCTACAAAGGAAAGTACCGAGGAAACGATGTTGCTATTAAGAAGATGAAACAAACGAATGGCTCAGAAATCAAGAATGAGAACATCACGGAGTTTGAGAATGAAATTAAGATGATGGACAAGTTTCGAAGTGAGTTTATTATTCACTTCTATGGCGCCGTCTTTGTACCAAACAAGATCTGTATGGTCACTGAATTCGCTCAATTTGGAAGTTTAAACGACTTAATGAAACACAAAAATAAAAACGACGTGCCGCTTCATTTGCGAGTGAAAATTTGCTTAGACGCGGCTCGAGGAATTAGTTATTTACACAACAACGACATTTTACACAGAGACATTAAGCCAGACAATTTCTTGATTGTGTCGTTAGACCAGAATGTTAAAGTGAATGGCAAATTGACTGATTTTGGGTCATCAAGAAATGTCAATATGATGATGACTAACATGACATTCACTAAAGGTGTTGGTACTCCAACATATATGGCGCCTGAGGTTTTGAAGAAAGAGAAGTACAAGAAACCAGCTGATGTCTATTCCTTTGGAATCACTATGTTCGAGTGCTTCAAGTGGGGCGACTCGTATCCAAAGAGTGAATTCAAATTCCCTTGGAAGATCGCCGAGTTTGTGACGAATGGTAATAGACTTAAAAAACCTTTAGATATGCCGGAACATCTTTTTAATATCGTAGAAGATTGTTGGAAGGAGAAAATTAGGGAGAGGTGTACGATAGATAAAACTGTAGAAATGCTCCAAACCTATTTTAATTAATTTAATTTAGTTTCGAGATTATAGATGTGGTACTAAGGTTTCGACTCACTATTTTAATACTATTTGAATTAAAAAAACAAGTTTTTTTATTTATTATAAATTAATATTTTAAACGTTTTTTTTTTTAAAGTATTATTGTATTTTTAGTTTTTATAATTGTATAAAAATTATTTATTAATAGTTGAAACTATAGTCCTTGTCGAAACTCTGGTTCCACATCTGTAAATTCTTGTTTTTATCACTTTCTTTGATGTCTTTTATTAATAAATTAAAGATTTATTAAATTTATTTATAGAAAATCTTTTATAAAATTATTTCTCAATGGTTTATTTTATAAATTTTTAATTATAAAAACAACTATTACCAAACTCTTCTAAGATTTCAACAAACAAAAAATAAATTAAAGAATTACCGGTCTTTTTTCGCTGTTAATGAGTTTTCCATTACCTATAAAATGTGATGAGTGAAGTGGAAAAAACAAACATTCACTTTCGTCTTCAGGTAGTGCACTGGCAATGAGTTTTTCATTCAATAATAAAAAGTCATCAAATAGTAAAATTAATAGTTAAATGTTATTAATTTATAATAAAAACAAACGTATAACTCTCTGACTGAGAAAACCATCCCTTCACGCTATTTCCAATTTCGTCCCACATGGACTTCTGCTTTTTCTGCTGTTTTGAAGCGTGTTGAGATTGATCAAGTGGCTGGAGTGTTGGCTTTGTTTCAACCTTTTCTTTGTCTTGTTTCATCGCGGCAGACCTCATTTGAGAATCCTTCTCTAACTCAGTTAAGCTCTTCTTCCCGCCCATCGCGCGGTACATTCCCATCTCACGTTCTTGGATTTGCCTCGCAAGTTGCTCGTCACTGTCAACAGTTACTCTCTGTGTCAGCTCTTTACTATACAAATAGTTTCTTTTATTATAAAATATAGTTTAATTCTATTTGCACAAACTCCTTTTTCACACATTCTTGGTACGATAAAAGTGCGTCAATTGTATTCTCCATGTGCCCATTTTTGCCACGAAGTGTCTGTTCAATCACTTGTGGGTCAACGTCGGGGAACATTGATTTCAACTCCTCGAGACCTTCTTTCCACCCAATTGTTTGCATGTTGTCGTGTTTTTTTAGTTTTCATTAATTAAAATTTACACATTTTATAATATCATTTTAAAGTAAATAATTAATTTGTCTTTAGTATATCTTGTGCAATACCAAATTAGAATGAAACTAGAATTTATAATTTTATTATGGTTATGAATAGTACTTTGACTAAATTAATAATTAATTGTTGTCATATAACACACTTTTATAGTTTATTATTAGTAAACTATAATATTTAAAAACATTTTTTGTATTTATAAAATTTCAAAAAAATTAATCCAAAAAAAATTAATTTTTATGAAATAAAAAAAATAATTAAATATGTTTTTTTAAAACATAAGAAAATTCATTTGTTGTGTATATAAGCACTTAATATCAATGAACTAAATTCTGGTGTTTGAAAATGAAAAGTCTTGAGTTAATAAAATATTTTTTTATTTGTAAATATGTGTATTACAACGCACAGTTCAAAAGGAGAAACATATAAAAGTATACATATTTCAAAATTGCAAATAAAATTCAAATAAACTTGGTGTGTTTTAAGTATTAACACAAAAAGAATAAAAATTTCACATTGATATAGTTTTTCATTTTCGTTTTAATACAAAATTATTATATTATCATAATATAAGTAATAAAATTAGAATAAACCGATTGTTAGATTTTAAATTGAACTAAAACAACATGACATTGTTGTATTATACATAAACTATATCAATTCATAAGTAAACTTGATGTAAAAAATTATGTTATTAAATTATCATGTAAACTTTGTTTTTAAAGTTAAACAACATTACTTTATTTATTGATTTTCTACTGTTTTTTAAAATGAATTATTGGTAAAAATTTTAATGAATTTAACATTTTGGAAAACATTTAAAAAGGTATTTATTACTTTACACTTTTTTATAATTGAATTTTTTAAATTATTTTAAATTAGCAAAATTTAATGTGTAAAGAAATTTTTCATTTTGATTTGATTAAAAAACTGTTTATATAATTTTTAATAATATTTTTTTTTATAAATATAATAACTTAAATATATAAGTTTTGTATAACAAATCGTCACATTGACAAATATTGTCAATTAGAGTGTCCAACGAAACATAATAATTGAATTTAAATTTAATTCTTTTATATTACCATTAAATCCTCTATAAAAACAGGATGATAAATATAAAATCTTAACTTGATATTTTTTGGCAAGTTTAATTAAACACTTTTTTAAAACACAATACTCATCAATAAAACAATAACAATTAATTAAAAAATAGAAAACCAAATAAAACAATAAGACACACACATTTACAGACATTTTACACTCAAAAGACGCCATAATAAACAGCTTTTTTCAAAAATGACACTCTTTGTTGCAAAACTGAAATCGCTCCACTTTTTGTTGTGATGCCAAAACTCATCACCAAATATAACACATTGACACTCTCAACAACACGCTCGATACTACAAATGCCTTCTTTTGCTATCACACGAATGATTTCCATATCAAACACCAAAAACCCGCTGTTTCTCTCTTCTTCAACAAACGCACTTGAGCACCACACTTCACCACACATGATTTTGGTGTAACACATTCTCATGTGATCCACAAATAACCCATCATTGATCGTTTTGTTGTCTCGATGTGTATCAACGATTCTCTTCACCACACACTCCACACTGCTGACATTCATCTCGTCACAAATGTTCTTCTTCCACATCATAACACACGTCCCATAAGTTCTGATGTTGTTCAGAATTCTTCCACTTTCTGTTCTAATTTTCTTGTCACTCATTATTGGATGCACTTCTTTCAGTAACTCACACAGTGAACACATCACTTCTTTGTCTTCATCACTAACATGTTGTAACACACTTCCAAATTCATTGCTTTGTTCTTCTGTGATTGAATCGTCTGTCACATCATCTTTGTCATTCCCATAAAATACAGCACATGGAATCGGATGCGCCTCTGCACAATCTTTTGCAACTTCCTCTTCATACTTCAAAAGTGTCCCTTTCACTTCATCAACATCCCACAACCCTTCATACTTCGCTTGAAGCGCTCTCTCCGTCTTCTTCCCTTTGTTGTTCCGCGTCCGCCGAGTTCGTTTAAGTGTTGGCTTCGTTGCTATTTTTAATATCTCAATTTTATTGGAAACCCTTGTGGGCGTGTTTGAAGTTTGTGAATTGGTTATTGAACTCAAACTGGAACGTGTTGGGGTTGATGGTATAGTTTTGAAAGAAAAAACAGAAATGCTTGGTTCTTGCCCTTCCATTTAAAATTATAAGTTTTCAAAAATCCAAATTTAGTGTTTACTTATCGACGAATGAAATTTGTGAGTTTGTTTGTAAATAAATATTTTCAAGATTAAAAATTGAGTTTAAAACAGGGTTTCTATTTTTGTCAAAAAATGTTTTAATAGTGAAATGCTTTTTAATTGTTTTTAAAATATTTTTAGATCAAAGAGTTCGAGAAATGTATTATGAATATTTGGAAACAAGAAATCTATAAAGCAGTTTTATCTTAACATTGGATACCATAACATGTTCAAATATAAAGTGATTGGAATATAAAATAATTCATCTTTTCAATTATAAATATAATTCAGTTATTGTTTTATTCAGAGGTCTGTAATAATAAAAATTTATTATTCTAATCAATTCACTGAACAGTAAAACCTCCCAAGAGTGGGCGGGTGTGGTAATTTCGTTCTCTTAAGAGCAGGCATTTTAGCCAATCAAACCTTAATTACAACTCAATAGAGAATTCTATTTTTAGTTTCAGTTTGAAAATGCCCGCTCAAGTGAGGTTTTACCGTATTTAAAAATTGTCATTAATGGTTTCAGTTTTTCAATATTTTGTTTTTGATTTTATATTATAAATGTGATTTAAAAGTTTTAAATTGTAAAATACTTATTGTTGTTCAAACAAAAAAAATACAAAAAGGTACTTTTGAAAATAGACCTAACTAACTGAATAATATTAAATTTTATCCGTTCGATATTTTTTAATATATCAACTTTTTAAAATATAACTGAAAGTTTGGATTGTTTTTAAATGATAAAAACCCACTTCAACTTTTAAACCAATAAGTTTAAATGTACACTTCACAAAATACAAACATGTTATAATGTGAATTTATAATTATTAGTTTTTTGATTATTATGTTATTAAATAATTTGTGTTATAAATGCATATTATTATAAATTTTTCCATTGATCGAAAATATACATATGATTGTTATAAAAACACACAATATTGAAAGAAATAAGGTTGTTATTATCTGATTTTAAACAATTAAAAAAAACAACTTTTTTTAGATAAAAAATTGAATGATAAGAAAAGTCCAATTTAAAGAGTTGGCGTTTTAACACTAAAAAGGTATACAAAATGCGTTTTTGGGAAATGATGTTTAAGAATAACAAAAGTATTCGAAAATATAATGTTTTATAAAAATTTAAATAAAATAGTAAAAAACCTATAAAATTAAACTAGTCTTAGCTTAAAAAATTGAATGGCGGTTGAAGTCGGAACGGACACCTTTTTGTCCGCCCGATTTTACACGTTCAAATAATCCTGAAATTTGCTGCATTTGTTGCATTCTCCCCTTTAAATAATTATTCCCACAAATCGTCATTATTTCAAATTGTGAAACCTGTTGAGTCCGTTAAGCCACATTAAACTAAGGCTTTCTTTACTGTTGTTTTAAAATCATGACTCAGATTGTTAAATATTCTTTGTTTCGCTTCAACCACAAATTATTTTTCTTTTTTACCCAAAACTTTCTGCAAATCAATACCATTCGACATGTCATCGAACGTGTCATTAAGCCGTAAAATGGCTTTAGCAGCGTCAGAGAGTTCATTCATGTTGTCGTGGACTTTGTCTTTTACATTTATTATGAAAATGTATTTTTTTATAATTGAAGGTTTTTTATTACCACTATTAAAAATATTATAAAATTATTTAATACCTTAATATTATTTTTTTATAGTTCAATTATAGTAAATATAGTTTATGTTGTAAATTAAAAGATCATTTAAAGTTCTATAAGAAAAAATCAAAAAGGCGGACAAAAATATGTCTTTTTTGCCAATTAAGTGTTAAGACAAAAACCAACAACAATAGTAATATCAAGTTGTTTTAAATTTTGATTTGCCAAAAAAAATACTTATAAAAATTCCACTTTTTGAAAGTTTAAAATAACATTTTTTATTGTTTAATTGTGACCAATACACTAAAACAATTTAATACATTTGAATTTGTTTTTATAACCATATTTAAAGCTATAATACAGTTAATTATTTTTCATTTTATTAACGTGATTAAAAATAAATATTAAAGTCTGTTTTCTATTTAACGATATTGTATTTTTACTATTATTTATAATAACAGTATTATAATTTATAATAAAAATAAAGTGGTTTTTCTAAAAAATGGTTTGTATTTTATTTTTTTGTTCTTTTTTTTTAAAGTGTGCTAAAAATAATAAAAAATAAAATGGCTAAATAACTGAAAAATTTATAAAGCCAAAACGAAGAATCTGTTGGTCTTGAAATGTGAATACGACGAAATAAATTATGTCAACCAGGTTATTCAAAATAAATAAAATGTCATATTAGATAAAATAGACATGTCAAATTATCATTTGGGTCAAATTGAAAACGACAACAAGTGATTTGGAAAAAATTCAATGCTCAAAATTTGTTTAACATTAATTTTAATTAATGACAAATTTATTAATAATTAATAGTTTTTAATGAGCGATATTGAGTATAGTAAATTATAGTTTAATATTTTTGGTCTAGTTCTTTTCTTTGTTATATTTTTAGAATATCATTAAATAGAAAACAGACTTTATAATTTATTATTTAAAACTAACAACTTAAATAACTGATTTAGAAAATATTTAAATCAACTCTTTTAACAAATCGACCACTTTCCCCATCTGTATTCTTTCACTGGGAATTTGTCCCCAACATTTCACAATAATAAGATATTCTTCGTCTGTGATATCCCCATACTGTGATGGGCGACTACCAGCAGATATAAAATCCGCAATTTTCCATGGATATGAAAAATGTTCTTTTGGAAATGCATTGCCCCACCCAAAGCACTCGTACATCGTGATTGCAAACGAATAAACATCAGCACTTTTCTTGTATAATTCTTTATTAAGTACTTCGGGCGCCATGTATTTTGGTGTTCCGATTCCCTTCGTGAAAGTCATGTTAGTCATCATCATATTCACATTTCGCGATGACCCAAAGTCAGTCAATTTAGCATTCACATCAATTTCTTTTTCTAATGAAAATACCAAGAAATTGTCTGGTTTGATGTCTCTGTGTAAAATGCCATTGTTGTGTAAATACTCCAACCCCTTAGCTGCGTCGTATATGATTTTAACACGTACACTTAAAACAACTTCTTCCGCCTTTTTGTGTTTCATTAAGTCGTTTAAACTTCCAAATTGTGCATATTCAGTGACCATACATATCTTATTTGGTATAAATACAGCGCCATAGAAGTGGACAACATAGTCACTTCTGAACTTGTCTAGCATCGAGACTTCCTTCTCAAACTCGTCAACTTTTGTTTTGTCATTTCCAAACTCTTTCATCTTCTTTATAGCAACTTCGTTCCCTCGGAATTTCCCTTTGTAAACAACACCAAACGAGCCTTCACCAAGTTGTTTCTCTTCAATCAGCTCGTCTGGGTCTAATCGAGTCGACATCTCCGTCTCAGCTTTTGTTTCTATGTAAAGTTGGGAAGTTTCTCCCTTCTTTAAATTAGCAGAGATTAACACGATTTTGTCTTCAATATTACATGAGTAATTTGGTGTTAAGAAAACTTCAAATTCAATTGCTTTTCCTTTTGGAATAGTCATGATTTTGGGTTCAGTTCGAATTGAGTATTTTGTGCAATTATCTTTCAGACTGAATTGAACTTTGATGACATTTCTACCGACATTTCCAACACAAATCAACTCACGGCTTTCAGTGGCAACTGGTATTTTACTTGTTTCATCTGTCGCTCCACAGAATTCAATACATGTCTTGTTGACAACAATATCAGCTATTTCGGTTTTGACAAATTCAATGTTTGTCTTCTTCATATCAAATAAACAATACTTCTCTCGCAATTTTTCCGTCTTGCGGTGGTTCAAAATTGCAATGAAAATGAAGATGGACGATGCAATGATTATAATGAAAATGAATATAACAAACAGAACACATAAAAGAATGACCCACCATACGGCTTGGGTTATACATTTCGTCTTTGTGTTGTCTGGAACATGCCAAAAAGTACATTTGGTACATTTTGAATTTGAGACTTCAACGCATTTATCCACTTGACTCTTTGATACACATTCAGATGATTCATTAAGAATAAAGTCGTTTTTACACGACGTGCACTTCCCAACAGAATTGCAAGTTTCACAATTTGTCGTTTTGGAGTCACAAGAAGAACAAAATTGATTTTCGACGAAATAGCCAGAGGAACACTTTAAACACCCACGAACACTTTTGTCTTCACAATTTATCAAATTGTCGTACGAAATACAAGCACTTGAATTTGTGAGTAAAAAGTGGTTCGACTCACATAAGGTACATGTTTTGGTACCGTGACATTCTAAACAATTCTCCAAGCAATTTTCGCACTTTCCATCTTCATTTCTAAACGTTTTTGAAACACAGAGAGCACATATCGAAGTGCCTGTCACCACTTTGCTGCAGTTGTCTGATACATTGGATCCCGAAACACAGAACCCATTTTTGACTATCAAACTACTGTTACATAATATGCAATTTGTACTGGAAGTACACGTTAAACAATCTTCAGAACAGTTCAAACATGTGTGATTCTCAGTGAGATAAAATGTCGATTTGCACCGAACGCAACGATCATCTTCAAGATTAAAAATTTCACAATCGTTCACTGTTTGTGGTGTTAACACACACGTTTGTGTATTATAATCAAAATAAAACCCATTCACACAGTTCACACATTTGCCATTCAGATTTGTAACATCACAATTGTTGATATTTTGAATGCAAACATCATCTTTGATGAAATCGGATTTGTCTGAACAGCCACTACAATACGTGTTATTACTTTCTGTACACTCACTGGAACCAATTGATTCACATGATCCACCAGAATTAACAACACCTGTTAACCCACAAGATACACAACTGTTTATTGTGCATTTTTGACACAAATCACCAAACGTCTCATTACACAGTTTACACGTGTTGTTAAATAAATAATACGAGGGTTTACAAATTAGTGGAACTTTGTTGTTTGTTGTTATAACTCCACTTAGTGTCGAACAAGTCTCTTCTGCATTCAAAATTTCATTTGATTTGCAAATTTTGCATTTGGTTTCTTGTGAGTAAGATACACATTTTGTGGGCACACTTGTACAATCACTGTTTGTATTATAATACCCTTCTTTACATTTGTAAACACGTGATATATTATAGAACAATATTGTGGTATCTTTATTTTCGACTTCTGAGCATACAAACGTTGAGTTAATTTGATAATTTACTTCGCAAAGCAAACAATTCGAGTTGAAACATCGAAGACAGTCATCAGGACATTTATTGCATTTTTCTTTGTAAGGTTCAAACCCACTTTCACACTCTTCACAATATGTGGTTGTATTATTCCGTTGTCGAGAGACACATTTGTTACTGAAATCAAGACATTCTCCGTTGTCTAAAACAGTTGATATATCACAGTGTAAGCACTTTGAATTTAAATTAGTTATTAATAACGAATTGCACTTATTAGACGAGTTGTACTCAATAGAAAGGTATTTATTGCCATTTTTAAAGTTATTTGAATTTATTGTATTTGCAAATTTGTATTTATTCCCAAGCAACAGCTTTTCCGAACTCGTTTGGATGTTCAAAGTGTTTCCTCCCACAGATTCGTTTTGAACGAATAAAACGGTTTTTGTCGAGTCGTTGAAGTTATAATTCGATGTAATTTCAAAATTGAACTTTGTTACCGTTTCTTGTTGATCAAAAGTACCAGAAAACGACTCATTCAAATCAACTACATTGGTTGACACTATAACAGTTGTATTCATGTTATTAATAGGACAATGCAACACCTCATCTTGGTAACTTTGGAATGATGAATAAATACTTCCTGTTAAATTGCATTGAATTGTGTAATCAAAATAGTTATCCCCTCCATAACAAATACGATACAATTTACTTCCTAATAATATTTTTGTTGAAGTAACTTCAAATAAAAAATCATTCAGTGGTGTGGAAGACGAGACAAAGTCAACGCATTTTGTTGTACTTCTACTTACAAAAAAATTCAATGAAATTTTTTGATTCGAATAATATGAAAGCAATTGGCCTCCTCTGATTTGAATGATTCCATTTTGATTTATCCCAAAAATTTCTTCGACAAAATATATATCTCCAATTGACAAATAATATTTATTTGGAGTGAAGTTGTCAACTATAATTCTGGTCTTATTGTAAACATATAAAATTTTACATATAACATTTGCTTCTAAATAAACAATTTCAGTGAATAGGCAATGATTTGAATTGATATATATATTGTTGCTTGTAGAAGATATCATCGCTTCATTAGAACAACTAAAATTTCCCCAGTTTTCATTGTTTTGTATTATATAGTTGTTTTGTCCAATTATTAAGTTCAATTTTGTGCGTAGGTTTTTTGTGCAGTCGGCCATAAATTCACCCTGAAAAGTGAAAGTTCCATTTTCGTTGTATTCACAGTCACAAAGTGTGTTTAAATAATCTTTGTGAATGACTCGATTTCCACAATTTGTAAGTGGTGTTTGAATATCATTATCATAAGTTGAATTAATGAAAAAGAGAATTTGATCCTTTATGTTATCATTGATAGTAAAAGTTACTATTTTCAATGGTTTGTTGAACGTAAAATTTCCTCTTGAAGTTATTTTCAAACTTTTGATGACCGTTTCCACATCAAAATACACTGAAAATCCACTCGACATTTTGAATTCGTTTAATGTCAATATTTGATTGTTTGTTGAGTTAAAAATGTATAAAACGTTTTCTAATAGAATCAACGAATTCCACATTGAAAGTCCAAAGTCGTATTTTTTTTCACGTTGTATAACATTGTTGGTCGTATTTAAATTGAGATCAAAAAGAGAGCTGTTGTAGTTACAGTCCGGATAATTGAATTTTGTTTGGAAATTGATGTTGACACTATTGTCTTTAGAAGTACAAGTACAATCTTGATTTATAATCGACTGTGTTGTCAAGACATATCTTGCCATCGTGACACTGACTCTACAAACTGGTAATATATTCAAATTGGGAAGTGAGTCTTTGTTGTACATTTCAATCTTATTAAAATGGCCAGTGGCAGCATATCTAGTTAAATCGACATAGTACTTCATTTCTGAAGTGGCATTGCTAAAATCAAATGAAATGTCAGACGCTTCTGTGCCGTTTACAAATAAAAAGAGTTCGTTGGGGTGTTTTAAAACCCACCATCTCCCATTTCCATAAGAATAAAGTGCTATTCCTTGATTTACCGGTTCTACAACAGGACGATACAAATTGTTTGTAGATTTTCTACACTCACTACTATCACAACCTAAAATAACAGAAAGTTCATTTGGCATGTTTGTGTCATTGATGTGAAATCTTTCTTGTGTATTTTTTGTTTGAATGAACAATTTTTCTAGAACGACTCCTTTTTCGAAATAAAAATCAGTTGATACGGGTGTTGATGTTGATGATTTGTATGTATAAGTTTTGTCAGAGCAACAAGACTTGGTTACAGTTAAATTAACATGTGTGTAATCAATTGTTTTAATTGAAGAGACTTTATTCATTATGGCTTCTTCATGTGTTAGGTCATTCGGCGTTGGACCAATCACAAAACTCAACGATTGTATAAATAAAAGGGCAAAAAACAACATATCAAAAGATAATAATTCAGTTTTGGAAAAAAGATTTTTCGATTTATTATAAAAACAATGAAAGCAATTGTATAATTTTTTTACAATGATTAAAAATAATGAAGTGTATTCAAAACGTTGTTTACCAATTCGAATAAAATGCATTCTATCTTGTAATAATTTATTTCGATTTATTATTTTCTTAATTGTAAATTAAAAGAATTATTATTGCTAATTATTAAAATGTTTTTTAAAAAATGTAAATCAATATGAAGTTGTTGTTTTTAGCTAATAATTCGATTATGTTAATAAATTCATTGTAAACTATTTTCCAAAACTCTGTACCGTTTCCAAAATTTATATAAACCCTTTGTCCTAGTTTCCCGTTATTTACTATTTTTTATTTGTTTTATTTTTTATTTTCCTATTTGTTGAACCAACAACGTTACATAGTTTAAAACCCTTAAAAATCAATACAATTTCAATTATTGAACAAAAAATTGGGAAATCACCCAAATATTGGGTAAATCTTCCCCGATTTTCCAGGTTCGTTATTTGGTCAGTGGTTTATTTTGTAACTAAACGTGAGTAAAACAACATATTTCTAACAAACACAAAATAAACAATAATATAACAATAAACAAATGATGTGATGAAGGACACTATTGCATCAAATGATACAACACTTAAATTAATAATAAGTTTTTGTTTATTTTAACAATTAAAAAAGTTATCGATAACATAAAACAAACATTTAAACAATCAAGGTTATTAATCAAAAGAGTCTTAAATAAAATAAACAGTTCAAAAATTAAAAAAAAACTTTTCAATTGAATCATCTTAACCTATTAATCTTCTCTCAATGCTTGTTTTACTCATTATTACTTTTCATTTTTATTCGAAACACGACTTGGTGATTCTGTAAACATGGGCATTTAATTATAAAGTTGTGTTTACGTTTTTGGCAAAATTTGTGTTATGGTAATCATATTTTTAATCCCAAGTTTGTTTTTTATATTTTTCAAGTAAATTTTTGGTGCAAGATTTATTTGTCAAGTAAAATTTAAAAAATTCAAGTTAGTTATCTTGTTTTTTTCGAGTAAATATTTATAACAAAAAATGAGGGTTAAGCAAAGGAAAAATTATTTAGAAATTATTTGTCTAAAAAATCGGGGCATCCCAGTACAGAGTTTTGAAAAACAGTTTATTAGAGTTGGTGGAAAAAAGTCCGGCTCGATAAAAAAGTTTGGCTCGTTTGCAAATTATAGTAAATTATAATATTTGTTGCTATAATATTGAAAACATTTTGTATTATTTCAAAAACAAATTAAAACTCCTAAAAAACAAAAAATAAAAAAATAAAAATACTTACAAAACCAAACAATGGAAATTAAAACCAAATTTTTGTTCGAAAATTTTTTATTCAGGTCAAATAATTAGCACTTCGAATAGAAAAATGAGATTTTATTTTCATGTTTATGTCAATACGATACAAAGTCGATAGCAACCACTCAATGTTTGTTTTTGGAATTAAAAATAAAGGTTTAGCAAACATATAAAACGCAATTATAAAAGTATAAAACATATCATTCAATTGTTTATATAGTCGATGCAACACAATTTAACAATCAAAAACTAAAATTCAGCATTTTGAAACAATGGATTGATTGCAACTAATTTGAACTTTCAAACATCATTGAGTTGTTTAACAAAACACAGCGTTTATTTAAGATGCTTGCCAATAATTCAATCTATGCGTGAATTGAGTCAATCTTAATAAGAAGTCAACGTGTCTAACCAAATGAAAATAATTATGGTTGTAACTTACATTAGTATTGTGTACAATTTCGGGATTCGTTCCCAAATAGAAACGTCTCGATTTTTAAATTGAATTATTTGTTTGGCTCGATAGTTATATGAAATTAAATAGTAATAAAAATAGAAACTAATAATAAATAATTGTTTATAATAAAATATAGTTATTCTTATCGAGCCAGACTTTTTTCCACCAACTCTATATACAAATAAACAAAAATTGTTTTTATTATTTTTTTGTAAATTCAGTTCCAAACATTTTACAACAAAACAAGAGATAATATATAAAACCTTGTTCATTTATTAATCGATATTCTCTGTATAATTTGTCGGATTTAATTGGGAAATATTTCCAAATTATCAAAAATTCGTTTTTTCTACTCTTTTTCGATTTTTATTATTAAATATCCAAAATCAACAAAGAATTTATCATTCAAATGATTCTCAAAAAATTCTTGAAAGATTTTCATTATAAAAAAGAAATGCTTTATCCATTAACACTTAAAAAACATAGTTTTTTTCTTTGAAAAAATGTTCTTGATTAAAATGTTTTAAAAAAAAATTACGTTTTGAAATATAATTTCACTCATTCAAAAAAGAAGGAAAATGTGTATTGTAATACACACGAAAAAACCCGATAAACAAACAAATATTTAACTAACATAATTGTTTATTGCTTTCTAATTATAAGTCTCATTACTAAGCAATTCACAATTTGAGTTTAAATATCAAAAAGACCACATAACGGTCATCAAAAAGCATTATAGATAAACAACCCTTCTCAAAAACAAACCGGAGAATAGTCGCTTTGAAAATCTACGTTGATTTGTTGTTATTTTCTTCAATTTTTAACACATATACGCCATCGGCTAAATCTTTTCTTATCCAAAGTCGCTTTAAAAAATGCAAACTTTGTCATGATAACGTAAAAATATTTCTCGCAGTGTTCGTGATTTTGTCGCGAATACACACAATAGTACGAAAATAAGTTAAACAATTTGTGTTTTGTTACATCCTCTTTTTCTCTTGAATTATAAAATAAACTAAGTGTAATTTGTGTGATAAATGCGTCGTTCATATTGAAAGCGACATCATAAATACATCGCAACACCATTTTTTACATCATCGTTCTGTGAATCCACTAAAGGCAAAAGTACTCCCAAACAAACCCATTTTTCTCATTGACCATCAAATTTATTTTTTATTTTTAATGAGTTTTTTATTATTAGTTTGATTTTTAGTTTGAAAACTAATAGATACTATATTATTTATTTAACAAATAAAAAAAATTTAACAAAGTACGTGTTATAAATATTCAACAGCATTATTACATGCTATCCACATATGGGTGGAAAACTGATCTGTAACTCAAGTTTATCTGGTTTTAAAAGTAGATATTTTCAGTAAATAATATTAACATAAACTGCAATTTAATCGACTGATTTTGGTAAAACACATCGAGTTTAAAAAGTAGTGTTAACAAATCTCTTCAATGATTTCGAAAAATAAAACAGAACAACAAAGGTTTAATAAGAAGCAGTGAATCAATGACAAATTATTTCAATATAAAAGCTTGTTTTTATTTTTTTATTTCTCAGAACTTGATAAGTTATTAGATCATTTTGATGATTTAATAATATAGTTTGTTTTACTATATTTAAAATAATAAAAAAATAAGTGGTCAATTCCCGAAAAATTAAATGAATATTTGAATACACCTTTAACTTCAAGTGTTTTTTTAAGTGTTATTAGTATTTAAATTTAAAAAATTTATTAATTAAATTAACAACTTTGTAATTATATAATGGTTTATTTTATATACTTTATTTCTTATACTTAATCTTTTAGGAAATAATTTATTTATTTATTTTGATAATAAAAAAGTAATGACAAAAAGTGTTATAATTATATTATAATTCAACTAAAAACCATAATATAGAAGAGAAATAATATTGAGACTTCTCCAAAGTGCGTCCAAGTATTGTCGAATGTTGACTACCGTTTGTTCAATTGTGGGGGTTCCTTTGGCTTCTGCGCCCGCAACATTCGACGATGTTGAAGTGATTTGGGGGGATATTTGCGATGTTTAGGATAAACAATTACTCAATTGAAAGATGATAATATTACCAAAGCTAAATAAGTTATTAATTCCAAATTGAAAAATACTTTAAAAGAAAGGCTACTTTTAACAAAGAAATTTACGCTGGAACGACAAGTTGTAAAAAACAATATGAGCAAACCCGAACTTTAATAATCAATGTTTTAAATGAAAAATTCGACATGTTATAGAAGCAACTTGACTCTTCCAATGATGAAATAATTATATTGAAACAGAAATAACAAGAGAAGCTCAAGATAGTTGGAACTGAACTTGATCAAGAGAAGAAAGACCATGAAAAACCCAATTCATTAAACAGATATATGAGAAATATCGCTTTAATCACTGTCAGAGTTGTAATACTTGAGAAGAACGTTCAAATGGTAGAACGATAAAAGGTTAAGACTATGAGAGACTAAAAGGCCGGTTTAGAAAAATTGAAGAGGACAAAGACTTAAATCCTTTAAACGAGATGAGTGTAATAACCATGTAAAACCGAAATGTCTAAAAACAAAATTGGAGGCATTTGAACGTGTCGATAACACCTCAAAACAGTCGAATAATATATACAAGATAAATTGACTGAATGGAATAAGAAACTTGAGCTTGAAAAAAACTACCTTAACAAGCTAAAGTTCAGAAGAAGAAATAGTCAGATAAACTTAGAGAAGTGATGGTGAACAAAACGAATTTGGTGAATAAAAAAAATGGCTGAAGGATCGATAAACTCATTGACTACTCAAAAGGCTGATTTACAAAAGGAAATTAAAAAGGAAAGAACAAAAAACTCAAAGACTTAGAGTTGCGGTCACAGATATAGAAATCAAATTGGCGAGCGCTGCTACTACTACAATTAAAGCTAAGTATGAAATAGAATTGAAAGGGATCAAAGCGGGGATAAACTAAAAAGCAACCAAACCCAAGAAACAAGCGAATTATTACTCAAGAAAGATAAGAATTCGAATAAAAATTTCGATATTCTCAGTCACTTCTTTGAGTTTATCTGTATTTTTCTTCTAATGGACTATATATCTTTAATACTTAGACCACTGAGATATTGGTTTTTTCTTATGCGTGTGTGAGTTATAAGTTGGAACCCTAAAAATGTTGTAAATTATAATATTATTTTGATTTTAGTGTAATTTTTTAATTTTATTGATGTTTCAAATTTACACACTGAAAAGTTACCACTTTTTATTTTTTGACTGTTTTTTAAAACAAAAGCGTAGAAATAAACAGTAAAACCTTATAA